AATGAAATGGCCGTAGTTGAAGTGACCGACACAGTTGGATCCAAGGCAGTGGGTGTTGGAGGCAGTAAGCAGATGCACGGCTCGAGACGGAAAGAGAGTGTACCCATCCGCAAGAACATCTTGTAGGACGCGTTCGTTAAATCAGAGCGCTTCAGAATGAATTCATCACACACTTGTTACACTGGCGACAGTGGTGCGCTCTTGGAGGTTTATGTTTCTCGCACATCCGACAGTATCTCGGCTTTCCCGTCAGTTTCTTGACCTCATAACCATCCGCTTGCGTGTCTGGCTTCCAATTGTCCGGAACATGTCCAGGGTCGACAGTGACGCAGAGAAAGTAGTTCCACAGCAACATGCCAACCAGGAGGCTGATGGTTGAGTACGAGACTAGGGCGTCTTGACCTCGCACTTACTTGAACGGCACCAGTAGCACAAGCAACGGAATTGACCACTCTGCCGTACCACGGCCATACAACGAAGATTTGCGAAGAATAAGCAATGAAGGAGATGAGGAGAAGAACAAAATTGACGACCAGGCGCCCGATGAGTCCTGCCATGGGGGACTTGAAGAGAGAAGCCGTTAAGCCAGTTGATGGCGGCTCAATGCCGATGATGCTGTGTGGCTGTCAAACTTTTGCTTTCGTTCATGATGCGACCGTATACGAAGGTCGCGAGGCTCGTCAGCCAGGGCATTCGATGGAATTCGACCGCAGCGGATTCCCCCAAGTGGGCTCGTTAGCCAGTCGGCTCACGGTGCAAAGCTCTGCTGAGGTATGTTTGTCACGCGCACAGAAGCGAAATGTGTGCTAACATGAGCTGCACGACAGTATCAAGTCCCGGAAATGGATCAATACGCTCAAGAACGAAAGGCGCTGATAGAAGAAAGGCGGAAACAACGGATTGAGGAACGTGTTGCCCGTGAAGCTGCTGAGCGCAAGCAACGGGCTGCGCGTGCCGCTCAGCGGTCTCCTCCAAACTTAGCGCCGTCTGCTCCCACCGTCGCTGCTACTACGCCCACTCGGCCGAACTCCTCCGCCACCCCTCACACAAACCCAGAGGCCGAGCCTAGTGAAGATATGGTGGCTCACCGTAGGCAACTCCTCGAGGAAGCGCGCGCGGAACGGCGTACTGCACGACTGGCGAGGGAAGGGACTCGTCCACAGCAGACGCCTGGGTACCAGCGCCCTCCCTCCTCACCGCGCGGGCCGCGCGGAGTCGCCGCTGCTCGTGGCGATCAACCTTCCAATGGGACAAGATTCCAGGACCTGGCAAGGGCGAAGAAAGGAGACCACGTCGCCCGCGGCGTCAGGATAAATTTGGGAAAGACTCACTTTCTGACATGGAAAAGTACCCTCCGGAGATTGAAGAGTGGTGATGAGCGAGGATGTTATTGAAGTGGCTCCTTTGCAAGGCCCCGAAATCGCCAGAGTAAACCTCAAACGCCTCTTCCTAAAGGAGCGTCCATCTTCCCGAGATCGTCAAACACTCCTCGAGACCGTCGGTGGAGACTATTCACGCTTCACCGCGAAAAGCCCCCAGCATTTTGTTTCTGCTGCTGCGAAGCTTGGGCCAGGAAAGCACTCAGCAGTAGCCTCTGCTCACAGCAAGGATATCATTGCGAAGAAACGCGAGGAGATTCACGAAATCGCGAATACTTGGTCTGCGTAATACATATGATATTCGAATAAACCTGCTTTCGTGTCATACTAAGCGCGAACTTCTTCAAGAATCACTCCCTGGCCAAGAATTCACGGTATCAAAGCAACCCAAGTTCTCACATCCGAATCATTCTTCCTCCGACTCGATATCGGAGGCAGACGGCTGCAAAGTTTTCCTCTTGGGCTGGCGAACATCTTCGGCTAGCTCGAAATCGTGACTGTCGCCCAGAACCTTTGGCAGTTTATCCCCAAACGCGTCGGCGCGGCGTGCTGACTTCGACTGGCGCGGATTCTTCTGGATTTTCTGGGAGTATTTGACGAGCGATGGTACAGCGGGACGGCGGCGTGTGAGAGCTGAAGGTTTCGATTGTACGGTTGCTTCCTGCTTGTTTTCTAACCCTTCCTTGGCTGCGTCGGGAGCCTGCTGCTCATCGGATCCAGATGGACTGTCGGTGACGGCACTGAGCTCTGATTCCGCCTCGCTGGCAGCCGCATGATCCTCAATCCCTTGCTCGCCAGCGTCCTCTCCTCTCTGCTGATTGTCGTCCTCGAGAGCATCGGGCGACAAAATCTCAACGGGAATCTCGAACACGTACGCGTCGTTCACGACGATATCAGGAAGCTTCACGCCAAACGCGTCTTGCCGACGAGATTGCTTGAGCTGTCTGGGATTCTTGACCAAGCGCTCCGCGTAGATGATGATCTGGCATTTGGCAGGCACGTCGCGTTGCTTGGCCGATTGTATTTCCTGGTTGATTGCTGCTCGACAGTTACAGCCATGGGCTCGTCTGCCACGGCAGGCGTATCTTCTTGAGCAGCACCGCCAGCTTCTATCAGGTCTGAAGTTCTGAGACGGAGATCGATGAAAAAGAGATTGAAATGGTAGAGGAGCACGAGCACCTACTTCGCACTCCTTCGCGTCATATTTTTGCGCCGTTTCGCTGGCGAAGAGTCCTCATCTCCACGGAGGCTTGATAATCTTTCTCTTCATAGCTGTGGCGACGAGAAGAATGGAGAGGAGTCGCAGGTGGGCGTTGCTCAACAAGCAAACGTGACTTGGGCTGCGAATTATTTAGTCTGATCTAATCTGTTGTCCCTTACGTAATTACATGACATGGAATGGTTAATTCACCAGAGCCAATACAACAACAGAATATAACTGGTATGAGACTGAATCAAGATCTGGATCGCCTAGGACACCTCTTCATCCTGGTCGTCTCCAGGATCGGCACAGTCCATTGTCGTATCCTCCAAGTCCGAAAGAGCGTCGTCGCTCAAAGCATCATCCTCGAGCTCGTCAGCGTCGATGTCATCGTCCGGAAGAGCTGCAATATTCGGCTTGCAAATCTCTTCGGGTAGCTCAAAGTTGTAAGGGTCTTCGAGGATCTTAGGCAGCTTGCAGCCAAAAGCCTCGAGCCGCCGAGCTTGCTGCAGCTGACGCGGGTTTTTGGAAGCTCTTTCTGCATATATTACCAAGCCGCATTTTGACGGTCGCCTCTGCCCAGCACGTTTGCGGGAAATAGAACGCAGCGGCAATGCTGCAGAACTGGAACCCTTGGTTCGCTTTGCCGGTCGAACTGGAGAGAATGTCCCAACGATTGCCTCTATGGGCGGTGCCGAAGACTCTCGCACCACCTTTCCCTTCCCACGCGACGGAACGACCCGTAGCATGTCGATCTCCTGAGATTCTGGCGAAGTAGAGTCGAGTAGAGAAGATGAAGACGTGCGGAGAAATTCTGTAGGCGGTGGTACAAACTGGAAGGGCTCGTGGTCAGGTTGTTCCTCCAGACCAGACACGGGGCTGTCCTCGTCCATTTTGCGTCGCTTGACTGGTTTTCGCGGTCGCCGGTGCTTTTGCGCCGCCTCCGGATCGTACAGCTGAAAGTTGTCGCTGACCACATTTGATGAACCTGCCTCAGGTTGCACACTGCTACGCCGTCGCTTCTTCGAAGGCGACGTTGACTTGGGTGTAGCGATGCCTGGTGTAAAATTGCCAGACTTTGACCCGAGCTTCAAGGTCACACGGGTAGGCAGCTTGGAAGCAGCTGGACTGCCTTCCCAGATCTCCATCTCGTCGTTCGGTCGGGTGGAATCTTTGTAGGCGAGGTCAGCTTCACCATCATTGGAAGCATTGAGTGCCTTTCTAGCACGATCGGGGGGGAGGAGCAACCGATACCGCTCCTCGAGCGCAACCGCTGTCGTCAACATCTCTTTCCTTCTTCTCTCGCCCTCCAAAACGGAGGTGTTTCCCATGAATGGCAAAAGATCGGGATCTCTCTCGAGCTCTTCGTCTGGAGGTTGAGGAGAGAACGAAGAATCTGGTGCAGCGAGGAATGCCGAGTTCTCCATGGCCCGTAGCTGTTCTATCCTCTCCTTCAATTTGTATTGCTCGTGCTTGAGCTTCTCTCGCTCCCGCAGGCGGTTCCGCTTCTCGAAAGCCTCATACTTTTTATGTCGCTTCTCATAAACGCTATCATCCGCCGCATGCACCTGTATTGCAATTAGCACTCGATGGGGGAGACGTGGTGCAGGACGCACAAGAACATCATCGTGGCTGCTTCGGCGCAATCGTGCAGCGACCATATGTTCGTCTATCCTACTGAACTCGGGGGTTTCGATGAGAGTCTGTTCCCTGTACGATTGGATGACTTCTGGGCGGTCGAAATAGCTCTCGTGGGCAGGCAGGCTGATGCCCGAGCTCGAGCTCGCAGACCCAGCGAACTGAGTGGCTATTCGTCCGAGAGTGGGGTCCGTGGTTAAATAAAAGGGTGTTCTTGAGGGGATAATTGGGTCTCCGTCCGCTAGAGTGGCGCATTTAGCTCGTTGCAAGGACATTGAGTTCGATGTCGCACATTTATTCGATTGGAAGTTCAGTATCATCATGTCGACATCACAATTCCCAACACCGGGTCCACCCCTACGAATGCGCGAGGGCTGTACACGCTTTTGAGGGAAGAACCCTGAAGCGGCTCTCAAAGACGCTTCGTTATCGTCCATGGCCAGGGTTGATGACATTCTGGCCGCTGCAGGTTCTCTTCTGCCGAAAAGACCGATGACGATGATGAGGACCTGAGCTTTGAGTCTGCTCCGGAAGCCTGGTGCAACTGGGTAGATTGTAGCGACAGGAGAAGATTGGGAGAAAGCAAGGTCAAGGGGACACCTCGCAGGGCCAGTCCAAAAAAGTCACGTGTCTCAATGTGCTCAATCAATGACGGTCCAGTGTGCAGCCGATCGACAATGGCAAGCCACTCTTCCTCAGAAGTACATGCATTCTTTCATCACATTGTCCTCTGAACCTGGGAGGATATTGCCCCCGTTTCTGATTTCATATCGACGGATATTCATCACTTACGACATGTTCTGCGTTCATTTTAATGCAAACACCCAGCCATCCGTCTCCAAAGCGTTGATTGCAGTGTCTGTGTCCTTCTTCGGAATCTGTCGTGAAGGCATGTTGTGATGTAGTGCGCCTGCGATCCAGACTGGATGGGCTTACCAGAACGTAATCGGTGTTCCTGCAAAGTGGTCACTTGCGCATTTGCTTCGCGATGGAAACAATGGCTCTTACCATGTAGAGAGAGCAAAGACAGGCACGGAGGCCCGCTTCAGAGGTTCGACAAAACCAGCGAGGACACCCGTCAGTTCTAGAATATGGATGATAAACCTAATACCGCTTGTTGCGCGAGAATGGGCATAGTCACCGAATGGCATTGGCCCTGCTATCTTGATGGCCCGCCAAGTCGCGTCTTCTGATTTGATTATGGGCATGCCTGCGCTGTATAGGCCGACAACTGAAAGTTCCTCATGTGTGCGAGTGACAGACAAGAACGGCGAGTCGCCAGCTCCAACTTCCAACAGGGCATCCATCGTCTCCCTGAACTGTCCTGGCTCTAGTTTTGAGACAAAGTAGCTCCCCGGTAGAAGTTGTAGATCTAGACATGAGTGAGCGATGGGAGGCGCCATGAACAGAGATTCGGAATGCCAAGCAGACACAAATTAGATAAGTACAGATATTCGCTATGTATTACTTTCATCAGTGCCATGCACTGTCCATTCTTCAGCACCAGTCCATGCAGTATTCTGCATCGGATAATACGGCTGCTGAAATGGCCCTGGATGGGAATATGCCATTCCAAACGCTTGCGCAAAGCGAGGATTGATATGAGGCTGCACGAAACCAGGACCCGGACCCGGACTGGGACTATATCCTGACCACTGAGGAGCTTGTTGGTTCCAGCCCCCGGTCTGGAAGTTGGAGCCATCGGGCATTTGCCCGGTGGCACGCGCTATCGCCATGGAGGTGGGAGATAGCGGTCGAGGAGGTGGTTGGGTGTATTGCTGAGGCTCGAAGGGCCGATCGCCGTCCTGATACTTGGATGGGCGGTCCCGGAATGCCTGGCGGTCCCCGCCATTTCCATTACGGCCACGCTCTCGTCTGCCGCGGGAGCCACGTGTTCGCCCTCTCTGCCTTATCGGCCGCCCATCTTCTCGTTCGGCTCGTGATGGTGGTCGTGAAGATAGTGTAGATGATGCGCTCAGTGTTGACGATCCCGGAGGCGGCTGGTCATAGACGTCGGAGTACGGGTCTTCATCATAAGGAATAGGCGCGGGTCTCGAGGGTCCAGCACCGAAATCAGCATCGTAGACGCTATGAGCTCCGTACGGATTGCGATCGAAAGCGGCCAAATCTTGATCACGCATCAAAGTAGGCGATGGTGAGGGTTGTCGTGAAGAAACAACAGAATTGGCACGCGATTCTCGTCTGAAGAAAAGCTTGAGTAAGAGTTCGGCCACCTGGATTATCACCCTCACTTTCGCTTCAAGCTACTCTTGTATGCGGCTTCCGCCTCGTCATCCGAAAACTCGAGTTCATCGGCTGCAGGTTCTTCGTCGTGCATATTACTTGCGTCACTGCCTCTGAGACGCTTCAACGCTTCCACGAATACAAAATTGCTCCGTCGTGGCACGTGGAAGACCTGACGCGAAACTTGGACCTTCTCCTTGTCCAAAGGATAAGACGTATTGAATTTGACTTGATACAAGGGCTGAGCGGTAGGGCCAAAGGTTTCAAAAACCTGGCGCATATGAGAAACACTGATCAGCCAGCAGGGGAATAACCCACATATCCGAGCACTTTGCGGTCTTCAAAAACAAGTAAAGTCTCCGAGTCCAGCGCCTTGGCTGAAGAGCGATGAATGATATCGTTCGCCCGCCCTTTGACGATGACGACCTGTCCAATGATAGACATGACTTCACCAATGTGCTCCAGAGCCTCATCCTCCTCGACCTGTGAGACATCAGGAACGACGATGTCCTCCTCGACCTTCTCATTCTTCGTCTGAAAGTAGGACATCGTTCCTGCTGGGACGCTGGCTTCCTCTTCGTCTTCGCCGACTGCATTATCACCCGCCCGTTGCGCCGATTTGACGCTATCATCAGAATCGGAGTCGGAGTCAGAGTCAGATGAGTCTTCAGATTCAGAGGCTGAAACTGGCAACGCTTGCGATAGAGACCGAGTTTCTTCAACAGGCGCGGGAGGCGAGATTTTCGCGGGCACAGAGTCGTTTTCACTCGACACAATAGATTGCACGATAGCAGTGGTGCTTCCTTCCGTAGAGGTGGAAGTGGGCTGCTGCACAGATCCGGCGGCAAGTTCATTGCTAGATGCAGAGCTATCTTCAAAGATTGAGTACGTTTACAAGCAGAGGGCGAGATTCCATACGTAGCAGCAAGTTTTAGAGGATCATCTCCAACCTCCTCTGTTTTGATGAGGTCCGCCTGGATTTCATCTTCGCTTTCGTTCTCACTGTCTGTGTCCGAACCAGAACTATCGATATCTGAGTCGTCCGAAAGAGGCTTTGCTGGTGGTCTCGGAGGCGCAGTTTGCACTCCAAGGATGTCCTGAATAAGCCGCAAGTCTTGAGGAACTAGGCTTGGAATCGCGAAGCTCATGAGAGTTGGAGGAAATTTTGAGAAACGCTGCGTCACATCGCGTGACATTACGCGGTCACGCGTCTCGTTTTTTTTCCTGCCAACGTTCGCCTCTGATATGTGGCCAATAGCTCTCTGCAGGAAACAACTGTTCGGGCCTTCGCTTTACTTCCGCAACGCGCGTAACTACTCGACGGAGAAGCCGTCCATCAAACTCGTCGCCGAACTCCGGAAGTTGACGGAAGTCTCGATCGTCAAAGCGCGAGAGGCTCTAAGCGCGTCAAACAACGACGTGAACGGTGCATTGGAATGGCTGAAACAAGACCTCCTCGCATCTGGTGAAAAGAAGGCTGCTAAAGTGCAGGACAGGCACACAGGCGAAGGTCTTGTCGGAGTCGCGGTTCTGTCTCCGGGAGTCACCGCTTCCCAGAGCGGTGGCGTGCGAGCGGCGATGATTGAGCTCAACTGCGAGACGGATTTTGTTGGACGGAACGCGCTTTTTGGCTCACTAGTAGCCGACATTGCTCACACCGCCGCCTTCCTTGCAGAGCCTTCCGCCACAGATTCGCATTTCTCTCCATTGCCAGTCGAGATCCTTCAGGATGCTCCGCTCCTCAGTTCCCAGAACCCGAATCCCAGTCCCGACTCAACCGTGAGCCGCGCCATACGAGACCTTATCGCGAAAGTGGGCGAGAACGTCGTCCTCCGCCGTGCAGTGACTGTCGTGCGGCCGCCACCTTCCACGCTGACAGTGGGCTACCGGACACCGTTCTACATGCACAATTCGATCAACGACCCCACCCAAGGTCGGATTGGAGTGCTAGGTCTGCTCCAACTGGCTTCACCCCACCTCCACGAGTCATTCCAGGATCCCACGTTCGTAGGCGAACTCGAACGCATTGAACGGTCGTTGGCCCGACAGATTGCAGGTTTTGAGACACGTTCAGTCCGCGGTCCGGAGGGTGCCGAGGATGCATTGTACAACCAGCCTTTCATGATTCCCGGTGACATGTCCGGGCAGCCGGTGGGCAAAGTACTTGAAGCATGGTCCAAGACGCAGAAGATGGATACAGTGGATTTGCATGCATTCGCCAAATGGACTATTGGAGAGTCTCTAGCATAGATCTAAAAGTATTACATATGGACGATTACCGGCTCTTCTTGTCCACTCGTTTAACATACGGAAGCCCCCACTTGCTTGATAATGTGTAATTTCGCTGATCATCCTTGACGCATAGTGACCTGGGAGCCTCGTAATCAATATCTCGGCATTGCTGGGGGTAATTGCGGCTTACAGGTCTGGAAATCAGTCAATACGAGAGGAGCACGGTGGAAAAGAAACGAACATTGAATCCCAATATATTTGAAGTAAGTTCCGCTGGCCTGGTAAGATGTCAATTATCGATTCGGATATCTGTACAGGTAACCATCCACCGTGAACTGGACAGGTGAACAGTCAGATCAGGGCTACAAGGCAGGACGAAGCCACTCACAACATGCCACCAGGAATGCCCTTCTAGGAGGAAAGCTGCAGGCCATCCGATTCTGATCTTCCACCTGCACAGAAACAGTTTCCCAAATGTGACCATCCGGAGACAATTCACGCACATCGTCAAGGTGTTGCAGAAGATGTTATCGAGATTCCAAACGAGGAATGCAAACGAGAACTGAGCAACTCCAGAAGTGAAGATGCGCCCTATCAGACGCTTGTTCTCGGGGGAAATGCGCCGCCCGTGCGGTGAGCGGGTAATCACGAAGTAGATCCGGCCCGCGACAGTGAAAAGCATGGTCCCGAAGACCATCTGGTGGTACACTGGGTTCCGGTAGAGATAGCTAGACGCATTGGGGATAACGAGATACCGAGAAGCCTGTCCGGATCACGACTCACTACGACCATGTGAAAAGCACATCGAATGCAACAACCGAGTAGCCCAGTATTCGTGTTCGTCTGGTCTTCATGTCAAACTTCGTGTCAAGGTCGAATAAAAGCCAAAGTGGCATCGAGGCGACATAGATCATTGGTAGCTCGTCAGCCAGCTGTGCCTGGAACAACAGTGTTCCGTGGAAGTAGGCGCTCCCTACGCCAATGAGAGCAATGCCCAGGTATCCGAGAGCAAACCGCATTGGGACTGGCAGGGGTCAAGACAGGAAACACGGTGGATGGGCTGCGAGCATACGTTTCTCGGCATTACACCTCAGCAGCCCAAATAGAGCGAACCCGACGGTAGCGAGATTCGACACGGTATTCGCCATCTCTACAAGCATTCATTCTCAGAGTAGTTCCAGATCAGCATGAATAGATCCAACCAGCTATGTAGTGCGAGAATTGATAGTTCTCCTCGCACCTAGCAAGCTAACGCTCCGTCAACGCTCAAGCGCATCACGAACGGTGCGCACCAATCGAGGGTCGCCGTCGGCGGGCCATGATATCCGTTCCGTATGGTAGTCAGGTTTGTCGCCTGAACTATCATCGTGGTGGTGATGGTGGTGGCAGACAAGCACTCAGAGGCAGGAGTTTGGATTTATATACAACGCGATCGCTTTCACGTGTCGACGCCGCGAAAAGCCGAGGGTCCGATTGCGCAAGAGCAAGGCTGAGGAATCCCACAAGAGAGCGCAATCGGTGGCCATGGAGCAGAGTTTCGAGATTCTAGGCGCGGAGAGGCGCGAAGAGACGCGAACAAGGGTGTGTAGAACGGCGGGTTATGCATGATCAAAGACGCGTCGGGCGGCCCGGAGGGCCGACACCAAAATGAGTCGCGCGTGATGTGCACAGCCATCGGCTTTCAATCAAACCCAACTTACTCATCACCCAAAAAGTTATGCGCCGTGCAGGAACAGTGCTCGCCCGGAATCGAGGCAACGGGCTGTACCAGGCCTCCAGACGCCGGCTGAATCTCGACTCGACGCCAGACTTGGGCTGTCGAGTGACGACGCTGCCCAATAAGATACGCGTCGCGACCGAGGCAACTCCGGGACACTTCTCGTCAGTCGGGTTGTATGTTGATGCGGGTTCGAGGCTCGAGACGCCGAGCACCTCAGGGTCCAGTTATTTCCTGGACAGGATGGCGTTTAGAGTGCGTCTGTTAAGGGTGGCTGATCACTGTCGTGTATTGACGCTATTTGGCAGGCGACGAGTACACGGTCAGGCGACGAGATGGCGGCAGCCGTGCACTCACTCGGTGGCCAAATTCTTTGCTCCTCCTCCAGAGAAGCAATCATGTATCAGTCGTCGCATTTCCACAAAGGAACGCCTGAGGCAATGTCCCTCATTGCCGACACAGTTCTGAACGCGTCGTTTCTACCTGAGGAAATCGAACTTCAGCGCGATGCAGCGCGGTACGAGATCCGGGAAATCTCATCCAAGCCGGAACAAATCCTTCCCGAGATCCTTCATGCTGTTGCTTATGGCAACACTGGCTTGGGCAACCCGTTAATGTGTCCCGAGGAACAGGTGGACAGGATCAACGGATTCACCCTACGAACGTTCATGAAGCAGTGGTACAGGCCAGACAGAATGGTCGTTGCTGGAGCTGGGATGCCTCACGAAGAGCTGGTTGAGTTAGCAGACAAGTACTTCTCTTCGCTGAAAGCTGCCGACGTGAGCATCCCACCACCGAGACCGATCGTGCCCCAGCCGCTCTCGTCTGCCACCTCCCAACCGTCTGTCGTGCACTCACTGTCCCGCGCGGCATCGTTCTTGTACCCCAACTCTGCTTCCCACGAGCAGAGCCTGGATATCACCCCTCCGCCATCTCTGTCTTCGAGTTACCAGGGCGGGCACCGGTTCATCTACGACCCCGAGTCGGAGTTCGACCATCTGTACGTCGCGTACGAGGGCGGGGGTATCCACGACGACGACATCTACGCGCTGGCGACGATGCAGGTGCTGCTCGGGGGCGGGGGGTCCTTCTCTGCGGGAGGGCCGGGCAAGGGGATGTACTCGCGCCTGTACACTCATATCCTCAACTACTACCCGCAAGTGGACCACTGCCAGTCCTTCAACCACATCTACACGGACTCGTCGTTGTTCGGTCTCTTTGCTACGTTCGTTCCGGGCGGAGAACGGGGTGGAAACTCGCCGACCCAGATTCTGCCGCATCTAGTGCACCAACTTTCGCTGCTGCTCCACACGCCCGTGCCGGCTGCCGAGCTGAGCCGGGCGAAGAACCAGCTCAAATCAGCGCTGATGATGGCATTGGAAAGTCAGGCTGTGGAAGTCGAGGATCTCGGCCGTCAGGTGTGTATCCTTCCTGTTACTTGTTATGCATATGTCGCTAAGCCTTGGCAAAGATGCTGGTCCACAACCGCAAGATTCCCATCCATGAAATGACTGCCAAAATCGACCAGTTGACACCGGCCGACATCAAGACAGTGGCCGACAAGGTCTTTGGCGCGCAGTCGGGCAACAAGCCGACGATTCTCTGCAAGGGACACGAGGATGTGGGCTCGTGGAAGGAGATCTTTGACAGATACAGTGTCAGCAGCGGATAAAATTATCACTAATGTCCTCATGTAATTCATCCCCCTCACACGTACTTGAAAAAACTAGATTACATCTGATAGCAAAAAAAATACAGAAAAGCAGATAGATGATGGTGAGTCTAGGCAGGTGCCATAAAGCTGCCTGCTTGACCGGAGCCCCGACCGATAGAATTAGCCAATGCCCTCCGTTTCTCCTCCCAAGCCTTCAGTCCCCGCAGAAGCTGCACAATCTTGTCCCGTTTGCCCTGCCGAACGTCGTTGATGCTCACACTCCCCATCCGGACCTCGTTATCCAGTAAAAAGTCGAACAGCTTGAACAGGCCGTCCAGGTTGTCATCCGTCGGGCCTTTCGGGAAAGCAGAGTCAAGCACAGGCGGCGAGTTCGGCCGCCCTTTGATGGACTCAGCAATGCGCATCAGGCCCAGTCCATCGCACAATGGGCCGGCGGTATCCATGATGCGCATATTCGACGGAAGATGCCCGTTGGCCCACTCAATCAATCCTTCGTCCACGGGGGCTGCCGCTGTCGTCTGCTGCGACAATCGCCGTGACGGCCGCGGCGGCGCAGACGACATGGGAGTCCCTGGCGCAGAGCCTGTTCCGCTCTCCGTCGTCTCGTTCGTGAAGAATGACTCCAGTCTTGTCCTTTCCTCTTTCGGCGCGGATTCTGCCGTCGCGAATCCGGTCAGCATCAACACTCGGGCATCCCGGGTAGACGGCTGGTCCGTATTCTCCCGCCTCAGTGCTCGTTGGGTGGCAGCTCGTGCCGTCGGTGACGGGGGCCGGGGAGCAGGATTCATGGTTTGCGCGACGATCAAGGGTATAGTTGGTATGTTGCACGATGACACGACCGGTTCTGGTGAGTGATCAGAACGAATCAATGACGACTTGTCGCAGCACTTACTGGAATAGTCTCGTCCGATGGTGGCCTTCATGATAGCCTTCATCCAGTCTCGCACAATCGTCTTCTCATCCGAGCTGAAGTAGTGTGTCTTGTCATGATCATGGTCGATCCTGAATCCGTATTTCCCAGGGTTAATCGTCTCGTCCACAGTAACCTTATACCCCACGATGTTCACGTAGCCCTTGATCTTGGTTTCCTAAATACACCATCAGCAGCGGAATAGAACAATACAACGCGGACGATGCTGACCGCTTTGTTGCTGCTCCTCAAACAGTACAGATCCGACCCCTTGAGCACAAAGTAGCGCAGCTTCCAGCTGTTGTACCGCTCGCTCTTCTTCCTCATCCAGCCCGAGTGGTCCGACGCACCGATCTGCTCGATGATGCTCATGCCTGGCTTGAGCTTGGTCACACCGGCAGCCGCACCCGGTTCAGCCCCGGTAGCGTTCACTTTAGTAGCAATACTTGCTGCCTTGGTACTATCCGTGGCGTGATTCGACGCAGTCCGCTTGCGCAAGAGTGTCGGCGAGCTCCCGTCTTTAGGAGAAGTCGGCTGTGGGGGAAGACCATCGGCACTGGGGGTCTGCGACGAAACGCCTCCGCCCGAAACACCGCCTCCCGGCGTTGACGGACGACCAGACTTGCGGGCCAGTCGAGGGAGCGTGAAACCGGAGCCAGCCTTGTCCGCCGGCTTCTCGGTTTTATCAGGCTTTTCCGTCTTCTCCTCATCAGCAGCACCGGAGTATCGAGGGGCAGGTTTTCGACCCAGCGTGGGACCAAACGAGGTGCCGAAGATGCTCAGTCGGTCGTTCGACTTGGCATTCCCATCAATGCTCTTCTTCCCTCGGGAATGACGGACGGTCGACGCCTTCTTCTTCACGGTGCCCTTGCCAGAGTCGCTCTTGACGTCAGCAGCCGACTCGGCGTCCTTCGAGTTGACGCTTCCTTCCTTCTCAGCCTTGTCGACGTGCGTTGACGAAATGGGCGAGGCCAGCGGCGACCGTCCTCCGGTCCCAAAGAACTTTTTCTTTGAAGACGTATTGGGTGCCGGAAGCTCGCTCTATTAGTCACCGCTGAGGACTCATTCTTCATAAATAAGTAAGCGCTGTGACTCACCTCGCTCATGACCGCTCTCTCGTCCTCCTGCGTCTCCCCGTCAGCAGCTTGCGTGGCCGACACATTCAGCGCGCCATCGCTGGGCGATAGCATCAATTGAGCAGGTCGGCCCTTAGACCGACTGCCATTGATCTGATCAAGGGGAATGCCAAGCCCAATCGGGGCACCTTCTGCAGGCAGTCCGGAGACTTCACCCAATCCATGAGATACACCATAGGTTTGCGCTAAATATCCGTTCTGAAGCGGTGAGCCGACGGAGGACTGCAGACTGTGGTGTGCGTTGTATGATTTCTGGGAATGTGATTGCGACTGAGAGCGCGAGTGCCCGACGTGATGCGGCGAGCTATTGTACTGCGGCGACCCGTTGTGAGGTGCTGAGCCCGGGAATTGTTGCGAGCTCTGGGAATTTGTGTACACCATAGCATATTGTGGCATGTTCTGCTGCTGGAAATTAGGCGGCATCTGGAACGAAGCAGATGGTGACGGTGGACGCCGAAGATCGACAATGGCATTGGCAATGCGCATGCGCTTCCCAAAGGCCATGATGCCGATTTCGGTCTTCAACAGATTCACATCTAGCTCGATGAGCACATCCCCTGTGATTTCTTGCTCTGAAGAACAGAATGTCAGTCAAGGAATGTTAAACGTTAGTTATGCCGCACCAGTGAATTTGTCACACACATCCTCGTCGAAGCCCTTGCTCTTGAGCCAGTCGACAACTTCGTCAACTGTCCACTCTGACGGGTGCTTTGATGTGCTGCTAGCGCTGGCGTTCCCACTATCGTCGTGTCTCTTGCTCTCGCTCTGCGCCGAAAGAGGCGCAGAACCGACACTACTCGGCTTGGATGGGATACCGACAGCTAGACCAGCAGCGGATGTAGAAGCTAAGCTGCTGTGTTTGGAACCAACAGCAGCGGCTCCAGCGGACAAAGCTGGAGAAGGAAGTCCCGGGGAGACCATGCCGAATGTGTCGCGAGCTGGGGTGTGCATCCGCTCCGGTTCCACGGCAGCAACAACAGGGGCAACGATGGGGGTCGGGGCTACGAGCTCTGGCAGAGTGGGCGACACTGGAGATACAGGGCTGGGCGGGACTTCCGTAGGCAGTTGGAATGAAGACACAGTCGCCGTCGCAGGGATGTCTTCAGCAACCCGCATGCGTCCGAGCCCATCGACGGATTCCGAAGGCTCATCCTCTTCAGGAATGTAGGGGTGATCCCGTACTGGAGAGTTAAAGTTGTCTTCGGAGAAAGTTTCTCCTCCGTCCTCGTCGTCCTCGACGTCACTCTCGTCGCTGAGCTCCACGGAGATTGGGGGGACGACGATCCGGCTCGGGCCTGCCGACAGCGCCTCAAGCTTTTCGGCCTCCGCGACCGCTTGCCGTGCTTTCTCTGCAAGCTTGCGCCGGGCTCCTTTGTGCCAGCCTTGGCCCTCGCCCTCGCTCATGTCGTAGTCCGTCTCCTCCTCTTCATCGTCTGTTGTGAGGTTATCTCGTGTGGAGGCAAAGCTGAAGGATCGAGCATCGTGATCCAGATTCATGCTGCTGTCCCTGGTGCGGCTGCCGAGCTGCTCGATGGCTTTCTGGACGTCGGTCATAGTCGCCTTCATGACCTCCCCGTTGGTATCCGCGCCATCGACCGCTTCGTCCGCTCCCTGCCCATTGAGTTGAACTTGCGGAGTATGTAAGACCGGGGATACGGAGACTGACTCCGGCTCCTCTGCGAGCGACTGGAGAGGGGCGCTGATTGTCTCAGTCGGTGCAGGAGAAATAATGGTGGACGCCGGTGTCGGCGAGGCCTCGGTCTGCGGTTCGGCAGATGTAGTGTAGCTCTGGGGAAATAAACCCTCCCTCCCTGCTAGATTCCGCCCTCTCCACCATCCATCACTGTAGAGGTCGTCCTTCTCAATGACCTCAATGCGCTCGCCGATCCGAAACGATACTTCGTCCTCATGCTCCGGAGTGAAGTCGTGTAACGCATAGACGTACTCGGGCATTGCGAAAGCAAATGAGAGCACAAGCTAGCGAGGACAGAGGACCGTATCTGAGGGTATACGGGGTGAGATCGAAGTTCTGGAGAAGGGCCAGAGGTTGTACGATGTTTGATCAAAATGACACGTGCGACGCTGTGCAGATAGGAGAAAATTATCTCCGTACAAACATTTTGTCAAAAATGTTACAAATGGTTTCTGTGCTACAATCTTTTCCATTTCGAATCCCGCCGGGTGCCCAAATAAATTTCGGACTGTTCTTCGTGGCGGTCCATCCAAGCACTGATGGAGGTTGGCACGAGATTCGTCACAGCGTATCGCTGTCCTTCGTCGAGCTTCGCATCCAGAGCATCCCAAACCGTCAGCTGGGCGGATCTGTTCGCCTGCCTGCGTCGAGTGCATGCATCCTGGACAATGAGCACTCGGAAATTCCGCACTTCCCGGGGTGGGCAAATCGACTGTCACGTGTCTAGGCACACATTATCAAATGTGGTGATCACTCACCTTTAGTTCTCGCTCAATCTCTTCTGCAGCTCGTTCTCTGTCTTTGTCGAGGCGCTCAAGAATGCTTCGAGCAAGCCATCCGGCCACCTTCCCGTTGGTGCGAGCAATAACATTGGCTGCGTCCTTCGGGTTCTCGAGCTCGTCATACAATTCATCAATGTCATCCGGGGGATCTTCTGCATTACACATGTCAGACTCGACTCGCTTAGATCGCAGGGTGCCTACCACTGTCAGGCCGTGGGACATGAGGACCTGCACGACGCTCCAGCCGTTCTGCGTAGCCTTGGTACCGTGACTCTTTCTTGGACAGCTCTTCTTGCAGCCGAGCCTGCTGTATCTCTCTCTTCCTCTGCAGGGATGCAAATCAGTTGACAACAGACAGGCGATGGACTATGGACGGACGCACCATCCATTTCTCGGCAGCCTTATCTTCATCTCGCTGATTCCACGGTCCCTCTCGGTGTTTCTCCCCGTTCTCGTCTTCCCAAAATTCGAGAAATGCGATAGGATATGTCTTGGGACTCGGTCAGAAGAAAGCGAGCTTGTAGGATCCCTCACCTTGACTATGACGAGATCCATTCCAGCAATAATCCCTCCGTCACTGGACAAACTGTGCATTGTTGACACCCACGATGCATCCTGGAACCCCATCTTGGTGTGCCACGGCACCAGATGGCAAGAGTTGCCTGATAGCTCTAGTCTCATCGAGTCATATGCTTCAAGCACTTCAGATGGATCTTTGCGGTCGTTTGAAAGCTGCTCCGGTGGTCAGTTGGAGACGAAGTTCTGATCCCTGTTAACGAACCCGGGCACCCATGATTCCCAACTTGCGACCTATGGTGAGCAGTCCTCTGCGAGCAGCTCTTGCCATTGGAGCATCCACCTGTGCCCGGAGACGGTACCATCCGTCGGTGAGCTCCAGCTCAGGATGTGCAGGGATCGGTGAACCGTCTTCTGCGATGCTGGGCTGTGACCACGTGATATCCGAAATGCATAGAACCATCGGACAAGACGCAGGCGAGTCTCGAGCAGTGATACATCTCAAGGCGGGTCTAACACCTCGGTTGAGTTCACGCTCATACCTGCACTGGTTAGCTCAGTCATTCGGAGAGCAACACTCGCCTCACCGATACAATAATTGCCGCATCACTTCTGCCCAACACCACCGCTTGGTGTTGGGGCTATTTTCCCGCTCCGGATCCATACCGACCATCCCAGCGAGTTTCCATAAAACAAGCGACCAGTGGTTATCCACCCATGACCTGGTAGCCAAAGAACAACCCCGCGATAACAGTTCTGCCAATGCTGCAGTTGGACCGAGTAAAGCAGGCGATGATTCAACATGGAAAGAGTAGTACGGTGCTGTGGCCAATGTGATCTGCTTCATTTCCGAGACTACACTGCGAGTCGTTAGCAGCAACTCTGGGTAAAATAACCTTTCTCACATTCCCATGTCGTCTAGTTCTTCCTCTGTATGTGCCTGAGGTGTCAAGCCAGAAGTCAGCAACGTTTGTCGCTCGGAAGGTCGACTCAGATCGAAGTAGGATGCGCGAGTCGGGCGAGAAGGCGTCAAAGATTGGATCTTGGGTGTTTCTTTTTTCTCCAACTGCTTTCTACCAGGTTCCCCTGGCTTCATGCCTGGCTTGAAAGGAGTGATGAACGTAGGTGGCCTCGCTCTGCTACGAGGGACACTGAGGGGTGTAGCGGATACCAATGCAGCTGGACGGAGTGGAGTTTGAGGCAAGATTGTTGACGAAGTAGGAAACGAATGTTGACTGGACGCAGTGGCGAAACCTGTACGCGGAACTAAAGGTGAACTGGCGAAACCCGGTTTCGAGAGAAGGGGAGGTTTGAAGGGTTTAGTCTTCCCTTTAAATTTGCTGAGCAATGGGGATGTGAAAGCTGAAGTTGTTGAAGCAGAGGTGAATGAAGCCAATGCTCGCGACTCGCCCGGCGTCGGAGTGCCCGGGGAGTTGAACGAGTTGTCGAGGACTCTTAACGCAGGTCTCTCCGGAGACAAAAGACGAGAAACGTTGGATGCGTTAGTGAAGCTGTTCTCCACGCCTACATGGGATTCAGTGATCACAGAGGAGCTATAGCCAACCTGATCCCCAGCCCATATAGCATCGATCTTAGCTTTTGCTTTGGCGAGTGCCTCGCTCGATGGCTCCAAACGACCTTTATTTGACGCTTTAATGAATCCAATCGATGCTGAGGCAAATCTGGCCGTCTGGAACGCAGGGGGTGGCATGTCCGTCGCAGGCGCAAACCATGCGTCGTAGTCCGGCTCTGGTGGAGGAACTTCGGGGGATGAGGTCGGAGCACATTCTTCGCCCCCGTAACTTTGTTGCGCAGAGCTGAAAGCGGAGGCTGCAGAGCCAAATCCTGCTAACTTGGTAGCCGGGGCGAAGCCAGAAACTGCTGTGGCAGAAAACGGATTGTCGGGGTCATCGCGGGGAGGTGGTCGTGCATCGTCACGGCCCGGGGCACTGGATGATGGTTGTGAACTATTCGTGTGAGGCGGCGTCCTCCCGAAGCTTGCGCCTTCTGTCGTCTGTAAGGGGTCGTCGGGAGCAGGTGCAGAGAGCCTGGGTCTTTTCGGCACTGGATAGTCTTGAAGCGTATTGGCTAGACAATTGTGAGAAGAGATTCCTAAATCGCAGTCTTGTACCTGAGCGGAACATTAACGATGCATGCAACTGGGCCTCTGCCAGTAGGAAATGAATAGACGGCGTATCCCAAATGTTTGTGTTGATTGGCAAATTGCACGTGATTCTCGCGCGTCTTGTCACTAGGTCACGTGACTGTGACTGCACATTAGAAACCTAGGATATAAATACATGAACAGGTATCTACTCGGCTCATTGACTGCATATATTGGGATACATGAGATTCGTCGGATCCTGAGGAATCCATCCAAATTGCAAACCCTTCTGATAACTCCACTCTTCACCGTTCCCGCTTTCTGTCTTCCAAGTCCTGGTGAACAGTGAGCCAAACAAGAGACAACTGCGGTATGGCCGCACTGACCACTGTATCCATCCTTGGCCCTTCTCGTATGATATTACTTGAGCTTCCCAGAACTGGCGCAAAAAGGTCTTGTATGATGAGCTGAATGAGGTTGCAGCTCCCGACTGTCCAGTGCAGCTACCGATACGTGTAGAGCCGGAGAAGGACCCGTCATATCTACTTCCCACTCCACGACCGTTGAGATATTTGGCGCAGTCCGTGGCAGCTGAGTGGAAGTTCAATCTCAAAGTGAGTGATATACTTCACAGTGGTTTCATACCAGGCGTCCATTCTCCGGCGATAACCCAAAGATCAAACGACGAAAGCGAAGATTGTTTGGCGCAAACGGTGGATATATGCTGTGATTGCGACATCGCAACTTCCTGCACAAGGTCAGGAAGGAAAGAATGTGAGAACCCAGATGTTGACTGACAGGGTTCGAGAAGATCGTGTAGATGTGGGTGTCCATTGCCACGCCTTCGTAGTTGGGGTACGTGAGAACACCATTCCAATAACTCAAAGGCTGTTGCAGTTAGAGCTATGGCAAAGTAAGCAGGCGGCTGATACGCACCTGGAAAGCATCATGGATGAGTTCCACGGTGTTGCCTGGATGTCATGAGCATGTAATTGGGTGATGGAGAAGGAGCATGCTTACTTTGCTGTGACGTTCCATATGGATATCTGGGTTTCGTGTGAAAAGACCGGAAGCAATGGAAATTACATCCAAGCGACGCACCGAATGTTACCAAAGCTATCATACCAATACTGGCGCACAACAGACAGTACATCCGCACTCACAAATCCCGCGGGCCTAGTTAATGTGAGCAATCTTGTAAGGATCTCGGCTTAGAAACCTACTCGTTGAGCGGGGCGATGATCGGAACATTCGCCGTGTTGTCGCGCACCATGCTCGCAATCGTCTTGATGATAGCATCTGTTCTTTGAACGTTGGTGTTATTCGAATGCCATTGTCTGAGTGGTAACAGATGAGATTATGTGGATGAGATGGCGTGATGAATGCATCGCACGGCGTGGAAACTCGATGTCCGCTATTATCGAAGCCGTTCTGGCTACCTGGGGCGCCGTGTAAATCGACAATGAGCTTGAGGCCGTGGTTTGTGGCCCAAGTTATGGCTTTGTTCAGGTACGCGAGTTGTCCTTGGATGTAAGGCTCTCCGGGACCGACTTCGAATGCCCAATAGCCTATGGGGAGGCGAACGTGATTGAGGCCAGCCGCGGCTATTGCTGCGAAGTCTGACTCTAAAAGACGTTCGATAGACTTGAAAAGTAATTAACAGGACGCTAACCAGTGATCCAGGTGTTCCAATGGTTGGTGAGGGCGGCCGAAGCTGTTGAACGACTCTGAAGCTGACAAAACGTCCATTCGTCTACGATGTTGTTATTCCCGGTGTTGTCAAACAGCGAAGGGGTGATCCATGGCTGGCGATACAAGCTCTCAGTGACTTTGGATGCGAGCCGGTGAAGAGGGCGACACGCACCTCGAGCACGAGCCAGCCACCCAGATTCACGCCGCGAACCTTCTGCGATCCGTACGGAAAGCCGGGGCTGAACGCGAGGACTGCGGGCACCAGAGAGATTGCAAGGAGGCGAAGAAAACGAGCCATGGCAGTGATGTCGGTGCATGAAAGTCGCCTTCTTATAATTTGCACGACCGGAGGAAGCCATCACCTGTTGCCGGAAACGGTGCTAAGTAGATTCAGGTATTTCGAGTTCATGTATCATGTGCCGCTCGGCAGCCACGAAGAAGCATGGCGGAAGCAACGCGGTAGGCCTATCACTGTGTCTGTGACACCCACGCTCCCGGACATCCGGAAAGAGAGCCGCAAGATTTCATGAGGCACGAAGGCTCTTTGTGCAGTTAGTTGTATGGGACTAGGCGGATTCCGAGAGCCGTGCAGTGGAAGAATGCGGGGTGTCGATCATCGATCGAAGATGAATGAGAAGTGACTTCCCCATTTGGATTTCTCCACATTTCCTGGGAGGCACGTGCACATGGTCTTGTGAGGACTTTGAGCACGAGAAGTCTGTTCTGCGTTCAAACCTGTTTGGAGCTGACTCGTCTTGACCAATTCATGACTCTTGGACAGATGCCGTTTTTACTGTCCTGCTCGCCTGACAGTTTCTCCGAACAAAACCCTTTCATCTCGGTCTCACCTGAACAGCGCCCAGTAAACTTGCACCATCTCTGTGTTCTCTGCCACCACGCAATGTATCTCCGGCGGCGCCGCTGACTTGTACGTTGAAGGATATCAACGATCGACTCGGACTCAATCAAAGCATCACCTGTAATCAAGTACCGTCCAAGCCCCATCCCAAGCACTTGAGCGCGCTGCGGAAGCGTCCGTTCTTACGTGATGTTTGTCTACAACGTCTGAGTACTTGTTGACTGTTTGGCTAAATCGCGCTATCGCCGCTGCCGTCGTTGTCTGCTGCCACCCATCCCTGCCGGCCAGTGCCTTGGGGCCATGGGCGTTTGGGGCCGCACCGTCTTGCTTGGAGCCGCCGCCGCCTACGCTGTCTGGTATCTGTTCCTCAAATCTGACGATGAAGGGGAGGTGGATCAAGCCAAGGAGAGCGGTGCGACGACCGGTGTGATGAGGGTCGATGCGACGGATGCTTCGGGGAACTCTTTGAGGAGTGAAGCACAAGCAACTTACTGCCAGTTCGACTACTACAGCTTTGAAGTCAACCACTGCGTATCGCACACTCACAGCGACTGTGATGTACAGTCGACAGGTCTATACCAATCGCCTGATAATCTCTATCCACCCATCCCGGAGCAATTCGGGCAACGGCTGTCCAAATCTCTCCCTCCGAGGCGCTCACCAATATCGAGGGCGCATTCGCAAAATATAGGCGTTCCACCCCAGAAGTCAACACCGCTTGGATATCCATCTCCGACCTCGCACTGTTGTCTTCCTCCGATCGGCGGATCGGATACAGATACCGATTTCGGACACGAGGTGTTCGAACATGAGCCCTCAAACCCAGCGGACGCCTGGGCGCGTATCCCAGACGAAGCGGTTCGTTCAATCGCAGTACTTTCCTCAAGCTCTCCATGGCATTTCTAGGCCACGTATCGAGAGTCCGCCAGGATTGCGCGTGAGATGGCGGCTTCGCTGCCCAAGCATAGCACCCGTGCGAATGAGCTCCGAAAACTCAGGAAGAAGCATAACGTCAAAGCGTGCCAGATCATCTTTGACCGTAAGCGATCCTGAATGCCCGTCCTACTAATCGAATATCTATTCGTCAGATAACAACAGGGTAGGTTTTGGCAGCTGATCCGTGCGGAACTTGTGCTGAAGTCGACATGAGAACCTACCACCCGGCACGATTGATCTGCATAATCTGTACATTGATGAAGCGCTTGAGAAAGTCGACTTGTCGATACGTCAGGCGAAGGGCAAGAGGAGACAGATCTCGTTCATAACCGGTGTGTAATTCTGACGGTTTTCAGTCTTCACTACGATGAACGTTCTGAGCAGGCAAAGGCCGACATTCAGCAGATCAGCGCTCCACACTCAAGCCTCGAGTTACCAGCCATATCAAACGGTGCGTGGCGTCTATTGGGACACTCTTTCTACACGTTGAGGGTACGAACTAGGCAGTGGACATATTCTGTGCAGGAGGACCCGTGCAACGCAGGCAGGGTGATTGTAAGTCTGGTCTGAATGGCTGTGACTGACTATGTATGAACCCATGTATTACTCGTCGCCATCTCGCATCTTCTTGTAAAGATTGATGATAAGGTCATTAGCAGTGAGTGTGATTATCCTTCGGGCTTCGTTAGAGCGAAGACAATGTGAAGTTAGCCTGGGTGCGTACGTGTGAGGTGCAATGCGCATAAAATGCGCAGTCGACCCTTTGTACCAGCCACGGACTCCCTCGGCCTTGAAGGTCTTCCACAGACAGTCGATGGGGTTCTTGTACAAGGTACCGACAAGCCTGCCATCAGGGCCTGGAGCCGTTGGCTGATTGTACATTCGTGTCAATGCCTGCGATCATCAGAAACTCATCCGACGTTCTGAGATCTAAGCTCACTGTGTCTGCCGGTTGCATTGCTATGCACTGTAAAATTGAAATCAATACAGTCGTTGGCAAAGCATACGGCAATGTCTTACAACACAAGCCCCGGAGACAGCGCTACTGGCAAGGAATGTCCAGGTGCTGTTTGCAGGAAGAATGCCGTGGTCGACGAGAAGAGTTTTGGCCAAGTTGTAACTCGGCAGTTGCACCTGGAAGTAAGTCAGCGTCCGATCAGGGAGGCAGTTGACAACGGCGCACTGAAGACCCCATAGACGTTCGTAAGATGGCCGCATCTATACCCCTGAACAGCCCCCGAATCCCCTCCGCTTTGAATATAGTCGATAGCGCATGAAAAGAACTTTTGTAGTAATGCTGAGCTCCGACCGGAAGCGCAGGCGAATATGCTTGCATCCGCGCCTTCACCAAGAACAAAGGACTGCCCAACGAAGCTGGAGGAGTTTCAGCACCTTCCAAAACACTGCATACAGTGCTTCTCCACCTCCGACTGCCCCACTCGTCGCACCGGCGAGCACTGCGGTGAAGGGTGATTGCTCGTCGGGATTTCGGCCGAAGAGAACATTCAGATTACGCCGAAGAGGCTCGTAAAAACCTGCAGTGGATATTGAGCTAGACGTTCGACGAAAAGGGCCACGGTAGCGCGCTAACCCAGCCGGGAGCCATTTAAAAGTATCTGGTCTGCAATGAGTGGGGAGTAAGGTCAACGGCAGATGTGCATACTTGATACGCATACTACAAAACAGTCAGAGAACAGACGAGTCATATATGCAAAGACTTGCGGCAGGTCCTAGTCCACGTTGTATTCCCCGAATCCCTTCGTTCGCGTACGTTTTCCTTATGGCATCTAAGGCACTGCTGTACACTTTCGGAGTTCCAGCTTTTGCCAGCTCGCCCTGCAATTGCAAACGCGTTTTGGCGACCTCAGCCGGATTCGAGACAGTCACCTAAAACCAGGGGTTTGGTATCGATAGCCCTCTGGGAGGAACGCGGCGGTAGTTGAAGCATCGTGTACTTACTGCGATGCACGCTGCGATCCCACCACAGACAAATCCTTCAGCTGTCGAAAGGCGCCCCTTCTGGGGGGCAGCAGAAGTCATTTAAGGAATCGCAGTTTGGCGGGCAACGGATAGCGAGCGTGGTTCGAAGATGTGGTCAAAGTCCGAGTTCGGATGTCGCACAGGATGCATGCGGGCCGCGGCAGACAGCCGTGGTAAAAGCCGATCAATAACACCCAAAATCGGCCTGTTTCCCGAACTGTGATGTGCTCCGATGCATTACCATCCGTTTAGCACACAGACGGTCGTGTTCGTCGCGGTGCTTGCTGTCGTTCTTCCTGCGGTGTTCAGAATTGTCTCCTCGCCCATCCTCCTCCTCCTCATCTCACCTTTCGTCCTCCTTTTCCTCGGGTTGGCTTTCCTGGCACTCAATGTCCTCGTCAGCCATCTTCTGGACTCCAAATCCTCCGGAACAAGGAATAATCTGCCCTACGCTGCTCGGCCTTTCGTATTCTCTAGTCCGGCAGCATGGCAGGCCGTATTGACGCGTTCTCAGTGGTCCCAGGACAGTCCCCAATCCTTCCCGCCCCTGGTGTCCAATGCACCCGTTGTTTCCGGTGCACTAAACGACATCCTGATCATGATCGTGCGCGACTTTGTGCTCACTTGGTACAAGGAGCTGTCTGCATCCCCCTCCTTCCCCATGGCGGTGTCATCCGTGCTTCACAGCTCACTGTCGAATATACTCGACCGTGCGGCGGCCATCGACTTGGCGGAGTTGCTCGTCAAACGAATTGTCCCCAAGGTCACAGCACATATCGAGCAATTCAGGCAATCCGAGGTCGCGTTACGTGGCGCAGCGTTGGAACGGCGGCTTACGCAGTCGGAGGAACTGGATCTGTTGTTGGCCAGTCGGTACTCCAGCAAGAACGGGGCCGGCAAACTCCATCCATCGGTTGAAAACTTATCGACCACTTTCACGAAGCAAACAGAGGAGGCCCATCTTCGAGTTTTGGTGGACAAAGCTTTGCCGTTCGTTCTGCCGGAGAAAGAGGGCAACAGTCATGTTCTCAAACTAGTTGTGCGGGAGATTGTGGCATGTTCTGTGTTGCATCCAGTCATGGATATGGTATCGGATCCTGATTTCTGGAACAAAATTATCGACCAAGTGGTCCGTCAGCTTGTCAATTGCAGTTTGAGACTCTTCGGCTGATCTTCCCCATAGGCTGGAGCTGCTATTCACGAACAGTACGCCATTGATCTCCGAAACTTAAAACATCTGACACTCCGATAGGAAACTCATATCCAAAGTGCGTAACGTACTAGAGGCTCAATCCCCAAGAGCGAATCGTCTCTCTACCGCCCCCGTCTCCTCTCTGCCAGCTACGGAGACGATCACGATTCATACGGATATCCGTCGATTTGAATCGTTTCTTCGAAGTATCAGTCGCTGTTCTTCTTTACTTGATGCCCGTCGTTTAAAGAACGACATCGTTGGTGAGATCCGGCGCACACGTCTCAATCTCTGTGCGTATTCTCTTTCCCCCTCTGAGTGCTCATCTCTGATGCACAATAGCCAATCACGAGAAGGACGATTGGATAGACGGCGAGAAGACGGAAGATGTGGTCGCATTTCTGGACAGGCTATATACAGCAAAGCGAAGGGTCGAGGAGCGAATTGTCGTACTGGGTGGAGGCGATGACTCCGTGCGTGCTCATGATGCCCTTGGTTGATGCCCGTCTGACTTGCTACTCAGGAGCGTCAATCTGGATATCAGGAGCCCAGTGCCAAGACTGGGTTGACGCTTCGGGACGTGCTCCAGAATCCGAGTTCACTGTCCTACTTCATGGAATTCATGGACCGACGACAGCGTTCGCTGCTTGTTCAGTTCTGGCTCACCGTGGAGAGTTTCAAGAACCCACTGGAGTCCGTTGATTCCAGTTCCTCAGGAGATGAAGACGAAGCCATCCAAGACAAGTCCATTTCTGCGACCACGACGGAAGACATAGGGATGATCTATGAGCTCTATTTTTCCACCCCCACACCTCATCCAACTCTGGCCTCCATCCCGAAGAAACATGTGCAACGGATCACGAATTTCGCTTCCCAACATCAAACGTCGCCGTCGATGCAACGGATTGCTCGAAGAAGCGTGATGATCGCTCAACGGCAAGTTGAGCGCGACATGGAGCACGACTTTGAAGAGTTTGAACGCTCCGAACTTTGGTTCCGTGCCATTGGAGATACCGACTCTGGACGTCCGAGCCAGAAGCAAGCTCCGAAGCCTCCGTCTCTCGACGACAAGCGCTCAATGACGAGTCCGGTCGCAATGCATACCCCACTGCAGTCTCCAGTTAAGGCGGGTTTCGGTTCGGCTGTTCATGTGCTTTCGCGTGCCGAGAGCACTCCGGGTCACGTTCGTCAGCGAACAGCGAGTAGCAGCTCGCTGAAATCTTTGAAGTCTCAATCGTCACAAATGACTGCCTCGGCGCACAATGCAACCTCGCGGCCGTCCAATTTCGAGGTGTTGATGTCACCTGTTTCGGATCCTTCTGAAAACGACACGCGTGCCCCACTGTTCGATGACCCTGAGGATCACGTCCAGCGTGCGGAAGAGAAGCGCATGGAGGCCATTCAGGCAGCGCTCACCGATATCATAGCGCTGGAACAGGAGAGCGCACGGGAGAAAGAGCGAGTGAAACCGGCCCGCCACAAGTCCGGTGACCAGGAGCTTGTATTTCCGATGTCTCGATTGCCATCTTCGGATGGCAAACGCCGTGCGATGTTCGATGACGAGGTTGACGAAGCAGAGGATGTGCACGACGAGGAGGACTCCAACGAGAATCCCGGCACATTCCAGCTTGCTGCGCCCGGAGATCTGCAGCTTTCGTTTGAAATTGCGCGCCTGAGCGACAAAATCACGAACTTACAATCGCAAGAGGCCATCTTGGTCACGCTCATCAAGAAGGCAGAACTGACGGGGGACACGCAAGAGCTCAAGTTGCTTAACAAGTCCAAGTCTGCCATGAATCGGGAGTTGCGCGAGCTGCAGTTCCAGAAGGTGCAATATGAACAGCAAGATGCGGCCAACCGGCTGTTCTCTGACCGAACTAAGGTCGCCATCGTCAACTCTACCGTCGGGGAGGAAGACGGCAAGTCGGTTGTCCGATACCTTGTTGAGATCCAGCAGTTAGCCCCGGATGGGAGCTTCTCGTCTGGATGGGTGGTAGCTCGACGGTACAACGAGTTCTTGACGATGCACAACAAACTGCGTGATCGTCATGGGATGGTCAGGAACCTCGACTTCCCAGGGAAACGACTCGTGACCGCCCTGTCTGGAAGTTTCGTGGATACGAGAAAGGCTGCGCTCGAGAAATACCTCCAAGTTGGTGGTCGTTGGACAATGTCGGATCGACGTGTTACTTACCTTCTTTGCAGAACCTTATTGCGGTGCCTGTCTTGTGTGACAGTGACGAATTGCGCGCATTCCTATCGCGAGACTCCCCCTTCGTAGCATCGGAGCGGCCCGTAACAACACCGAAAGAGCACAGCACCTTCGCTGGCGCCAATCTCGTGAGGAATGTGTATAGGTCTGTCACCGAGAGCATCGACGATATGTTCTTTGGGCCGTCCATGCTTGACGTGATGATCCAGCGACTCACTCGCCAAGCGGCCGAGTTTGCAGGGATCGCAGGATCGGGTGTTAATGACATCGACCTGGTTGCACAGGCCCTGAATGCGTCTGGAAAGAGTTCGTCCGAGGCCGCAATCATGCAGCAGCTTTCCGGTGACCTGAAACCACTCGAGGGAGAAACAAGCACTTCCACATTCTCAGCCCCGATCTGCGATCTCCTTCTCGCTGTGTTTGAGCTGAACAAGACGAACAACTGGCTGCGTAGGCAAGCTATTGTCATCATCTTGCAGCAGCTGTTGGGTGGCACTATCGAGCGGTATGTGTCTCAAGTCTCCCCTGGCTCCTAGAAATCTCATGTTGTGCAGGAAAATCCGAGAAAATGTCAAGGGCATGCTCGAAGAATCGCGTGTGATGGTTTTCGTCAACTTGTTCCGCAACGGTCTCTGGCCTGGAGGCAAGCTGAAGCCTCCAAGCATCCCAAGAACAGCGGAGGAGAAGCTCAGAACAAGAGATGAAGCCAACCGCAAGCTCTCTTCTCTCGTTCCAGGTCGGTTGCTTTCCTGTGCGTCATCAGTGCTGATCAATCCCGTCAGACCTGGCTGCAAATATGATCGGTCGTTCCAACGCCCGTCGCGGCGCCCGACGGATCTTTGCCGTGCTCCAGAACCGCAGACTAAACCAGCACATAGCATATACCATTGTCGATGAGGTATGTGCATCCCTCCCTCTCTCCTTAGTTTTACAACATCCCAACCATGCCACGCAGGTTTTCGCTGCTCTGTTTCCAGAGTCCACTGTCTCCCCGAATCTTTCATGAAATCACGCGCGTATTGTAATGACACACCCTATCAATTATGTATCTCTGCATCGGCCATCGAGACGTCTAAAGCATGGGCTTGCGGCTCTATCTTAACCTTCGATTCGGCGGATGTCTCGTCCTCCTCCATCTCGAGAACGTCAGCTTCCGATTTGACCGTCGTCGGCTTGTTTGTCACGGGCTTGGAGGTTTTCTTTGCGGTCACGGCATTCGCAGTTCCGTCGTCGAAGCTGTTTACAAGTTTGAGCAGAAGAACCGGGGTGGGCGGATTGACGGGGGTGTTTACACTTTGATGGCATGGAATATGAATCCCCCGGTCCCAGACGTGTTCATTGTTGGATGTGTCCGCCCGGGGAGCACCTGATATCTTCGCATCCAAACTTCTGATACCGAAGGGCAGAGATACCCTGGTGCGCCTCGGATTTTGCCGTGCAGGTCAGATAATACCTGAGCAGTCGTCTTAGAGGACAAGCCGCTTGTGTGATCACAACGCACCTGCCCGTAAGGACTTTGAACCACTATGGACGCAGAGCCAGCCAAATGTGGAACGAGGCGTTCCAAGATAGAGTGAGGTTCGTAGTCGCTCGCGACAATGAGACTATTGATGCTGTTAGACCGAGATGCCACACATGCACTACTGCACTCGCCTTTCGAATTCACCCGCATACAATTCCTCCCGAATGCTGTTGATGAGGTCTTGGGCAGCTTTCCGCCTGTCCATCCGTGTGCGTTGCCTGTCTGACTTGATTTGCTCAGAAGGAAGTTCAACCGGCGCGACGACTGAGCACTAGGACTGTCAGGAAATCACGGGGCGAGACGACTTGCAGGTCCTACCGGGTACATGTTCCTGCTCCGTCAGGGCCCAGTTTATCGAGGCAAGGACCGGGGCGACAGTCTCTTCGTTGAAGTTCATGTTCACAACAGCAGGGTAAGCCGGTGGTGAATCGTTGTTGCAGAGTGTGATCAGACGTCCTTGGCCTGTGGACGGCTAAGCTTCAAGCCGGGTCAATGTAGCACAATCCACTCACCGCCCATTCGCTCCAGTATACCAGCAACAAGGAGACCCGAGGCGTCATCTACTGCCAGATACCTTCCCCCTGGTCGTATGTTTGCCATGTGAAGGATTTGTGACAGAGCGTCGATTCGTATGTCGCGTACGCGCGCAGGGTCTTTTCGGAACCAGTACTCGCAGACGTTGAAGAGCGTTGGTTCGATGCAGGTGAAGACTTTGCCATATCTACACGCCAGAGTCAAAATCCGACTGAGAGTGGCAGTTCGAAACGCACTTTGCTTCCTTCCTCTTCTTATACTTCTCCTTGCTGTACTCCGTTTTCAGAGAGTAGTTTGCATGTTGTTCGATTTGAAGCCTGATGATTTCCTACGTTCGTCAATGGGAGTGGGGAGGTGGGGAAGTGAAATGCGTACCGAAGCGTGAGTACCGGATTGTTTCAGTGTCTGGATCTCTGCCAGGGTAAGAGGCTGGACAGATTGCCCGTCATTTATGTATTCGTTGGTGGCGTCTGTATCCTCTACGAGCCGGTTCAGCGGAGGGAGTCCTGCTTTGACACTAACATACCAATATCAGCCATCACACGAGGAGGCAAGACCTTCAATTTTTTGTCGATGATGTCGTATGTTCGCCCAAACGGTTGTCCGATGAGCTCATTGGCGGGAAACGCGCCGACTTTCCCAAGTGAAACGGTCCTGCAGATCTTGTGTTCCTAGAACGCAGACGACAGGTCCATGACCAACTTACGCATTCTGCTCCACCTTGATAGCCTTGGCCTCCCCATTCGGTAGTCGGAGAAGCAAGGTGGCTCCAGACTTTATCACCGATGTCCTTGTCTCGTATAGCGGCGGTGTAGGAGGGTTCATGAGGAAAAACTCAGAGTGGCTGTGAGCGATAGGACACGATCGATTGATCTAATGATTTGATCGGCACTTTCACGATCTCCGTGCCAATGTCTACCGATGAACTCGACCAGCTACTGAGAAAGACTCAGAAAGAACCTTCCACGCCTTTGCTCCCTGATGAGCTCTCGTATCTCATCACTTCCTTTGTTCCAAGCCAATCCGCTGCTCTTCGCTCCAAGGCATATCTGGTCCTGTCCGCTTTCTGCCAGGGCGTGCGGCAATCGTCCTCGGTGAAGGGAAAGCAGCCTAACCCGGCCACGGAAACTCTCTATGAAATATTCGAACCAGCCGTGGTCTCACGACTGGCCGACTCGGACGACAGTCGAATACAGGAAGGGTTGTCTTTCCTCACGGCGCTGTTCCAGGTCGATGGGGAGACGGGTTCGCGTATATTTGGGCAGGATGGGATCCTTGATTTCATGATGGACAGTGTGGATCTCAAACCGTCGCGGGAGCTGGCACTTCTCGTCGCGCATCTGCTCAGTCAGGCGTGTGGGATCAAGCGATGTCGCGCGCTGATCACGGCTCCAACCGTCGAGTGGCTCGAGGAACAATCGAGGAACTCTGACGATCCATCTTTGCGTGCTGCTGTGTCTGTTTCGCTGGTGAAGCTGTCGCGGGGGAGGATTTCCGACGCTGCTGCGAGTGGTGTGACAGAAACTCAAGAGCAGCCTCAAGACGAGGATCAGCTTGCGGATGTCATGAAGAGCTTGGTCATCAACAGCGACGACAAGTCATCCATTTCCGATGCAGTGGAAGGGCTTGCCTATCTCAGCGTGGATCCCACAGTGAAGGATGCACTCTCAAGAGATCCGGTCTTCTTGAAGCACTTTTTCTCACTTATCCCTCATCGCAAGGCTCAAAACTTGCCTGTGGAGCCCAATACTACTCTCCTATACGGTGTTCTACTCACCATCGCCAATATTTGCGCATATCGGCCCCGGTTGACAGAGGAACAAGCTCAGATCGCGAAATTGAAGCGGATGGCCAACACCGCTAAGAAACCCTCCGAAACTACAGACGCTTCCTCTAGTCTGGATGACGATGACATCGTCAAAGATAGGATCTCTCGATTAGTCTCTGCCGGTGTTCTCGAGGTCTTTGCGGGTGCAGTGCCAGGCACTGACAGCATTGGTATCAGGAGTGCGGCCGGGAAAGCTCTCCTCAGTATAGTTGAGGATCGCGAAAACCGAGGAAAGGTGCTGCAAAATGGCGGTGCAAAGCTACTTGGCATCATTATAAAGAAGGCCCTAGACCCGAGCCCTGCAGATTCTAAAGTCAAATTAGAGGTGGTGGATCTCGAGCCTATCCAGGCACTCGCCAAGCTTGCAATCACGTCGTCGCCAGTGCAGGTCTTCGGGCCGAATGATGGCGCAATCTACGATGCCATTCGACCATTCTCGCTCATGCTACAACATCCATCCTCGACGCTCTTGCAAAAGTTTGAGGCATTGATGGCCTTGACGAATTTATCATCCCACAGCGCGGAGACTTCCTCGCGGATCGCTACTGCGGAGGGCTTGCTCAATGCCGTCGAATTGTTGTTGCTGGAGGAACATCCCCTCGTTCGAAGAGCATCGATGGAGCTTATCTGCAATCTTATCTCTGGATCGGATGTGGTTTACGAGCGCTATGGCGGCAGCGAAAACAACACCTCGACCAGGGCAAAGCTACAGATCGTTCTCGCCATGTCGGACGTGGAGGACCTGAACACGCGTCTAGCGGCGTCTGGGGCTCTTGCCACGATCACGGACTCACCCAGCGCTTGCGCCGGTCTCGTTGATCTACAACTCGAGCGCCATCGCATGCTATTGATACTCGCTCAGCTGGTCGATCCTACAGCGTGCCCCGAAAACGATGACGACGGAGAGCGTAGTATGGACACAGCCCCTGGTCTGGTGCACCGAGGCATCGTCTGTGTACGTAACATCATGCTCAACACCAACGATGCGGCAAAGCGGGAGCAGCTCGCACAGGAGGCTTCGGAGGCCGGCTTGGTTCAGGGCTTGGTGAATGTGGTGAAAAGCAATCCTGCCCCAGCCATTCTACAGCCAGCAGTCGAGGCTTTAAAGTGTATAATGGACACACTCAAGAAATGAATGCGTAGTTTCCGTAGTCAGAACCACCGAAACTGCGTGCACAGGCCTCGGCAGTTACCGAGTATGACGCATGCGATCATTACCCTACTTGTTACCCACTGCTACCGTCCTCCCTAATTCATGGTCAGCCTGTGTCCTTACACGCTCTTCGTAGTATTGAGCAACTCCTCAGGCGCCATCGAAAAAGGCGGGCAAGAAAGCCGCAGGCTCAGCGCCGCCAAAGAAGGGTGGGGGTCAAGCGGGCAAAGTGGCCAAGGCACGTTTCATCGTCCCTGGCTCTCGTGTCGCACTCACGCATTCTCCACTCAGGCCGACTGGAAAGAGGGCTTCAAGAAGAAGCAAGTCGGAGTATCCGATATGACCCTGCTTACCACTATCAGCAACGAGAGTATCAACGAGAATCTCCAGAAACGTTGGACAAACGCCGAAATATATACCTATATTGGCGCCGTGTTAATCTCAGTCAACCCATTCCGAGGTCCCCTACTCCCATCGTCCGAATCGGAATCCTCCACTCACACCACTTCCACAGATCTTGGTATCTACACCGACGAGACGCTACAAAAATACCGTGGCAAGAACCGACTCGAAGTTCCTCCCCACGTGTTCGGAATCGCCGAAGCCTCATACTATAACATGAATGCGTACCACGAGAACCAGTGTGTAATCATCTCGGGCGAGTCCGGTGCGGGAAAGACAGAGGCGGCGAAACGGATTATGCAGTATATCGCGGCGGTCTCGGGAGGACAGGACAGTAGTATCCAGGAGATCAAGGACATGGTGCTGGCGACCAATCCCCTGCTAGAGAGTTTTGGATGTGCGAAGACGTTGAGGAATAACAACTCCAGTCGACATGTACGTTCCCACCCACAAAATCAACTGCCTCTGATCTCGATCGCGCAGGGCAAATATCTCGAGATCATGTTCAACTCGCAGGGAGAGCCTGTCGGCGCACAGATTACCAACTATCTCCTGGAGAAAGGACGTGTTGTGGGTCAGGTGGAAAGCGAGCGAGACTTCCACATCTTCTACCAGTTCACCAAGGGCGCTTCGGACGAACATCGAGGTACGATTATCATGTGGTCAGGTGATCACAGTCTCAGATTCTTCCAGAACTCTTTGGAATCCAGGGACCCGAGGCGTACGTTTACACCAGTGGGAGCAACTGTTTAGACGTGGCTGGAATCGACGACCTTGACGATTACCAAGAGACAATCGTAAGTATCGCAAACAGACGCCTATGTCGTGTGATCTGACAGCCCTCAGAAAGCGATGGGTGTCATTGGACTGAGCGCTCAGGAGCAAAACGAGATCTTCCGCATGCTGGCTATCATTTTGTGGCTCGGGAACGTGCAATTCAGCGAGCTAGACGATGGAAATTCGGCTATCGCTGACAGTGGTGTTACAGACTTTGTGGGCTATCTCATGGAAGTCGACGGAGCACTTGTCCAGAAGGTGTTGACCTCAAAGGTGGTGGAGACACAACGTGGAGGACGACGAGGATCTGTATATGACGTTCCATTGAACCCAGCGCAGGCCAGTTCGGCCAGGGATGCCCTCGCCAAGGCAGTGTACAACAATCTCTTCGAGTGGATCGTATCCCGGGTCAACGTGTCTATGAAGCCTCGGAAAGCACACACTCAAGTCATCGGCATTCTTGTATGTTTCCGTCTTTCGTCTTAGAATGTTACTCACCAAGTCCTTAGGATATTTTCGGATTCGAAATCTTCGAAGTGAGTCCTCTGCTGATTGCAGCGCTTTCTTGTTTATTTGACACGTTACAGGACAACTCTTTTGAGCAACTCTGCATCAATTATGTCAATGAAAAGCTGCAACAGATCTTTATTGAGCTGACTCTGAAGACGGAGCAAGAAGAATACGTTCGGGAGCAAATCAAATGGACACCCATCAAGTACTTCAACAACAAGATTGTTTGCGACCTCATCGAAGAGCGACGACCGCCAGGCATTTTCGCTGCCTTGAACGACGCCTGTGCGACGGCGCACGCTGATCCGACTGCAGCGGACAATAGCTTCATGCAGCGTGCATCTGCGCTTGCCTCAAACCCGCACTTTGAGTCGCGAGGCGCTCAGTTCTTGGTCCGCCATTATGCGGGCGATGTGATGTACAATGTGTCTGGCATGACCGACAAGAACAAGGATACCCTGAATAAGGACCTGCTCGATCTGATCGCCAGCAGTGGAAACCAGTTCTTGCAAACGTTGTTCCCTGACCGCCCCGATCCAAACAGCAAGAAGCGACCCCCCACTGCCGGAGACCGTATCAAGGTTTGTTTGGTCACTCGCTGAACACACGATCTCACTTTTAAGCCCAGACCTCTGCCGGAGCGCTCGTCGACAACTTGATGAAGGCACAGCCGTCATACATCCGAACGATCAAGCCGAACCAGAACAGGAGCGGCAGCGAATACGATTCGAAGGCCGTTCTGCATCAGATCAAATATCTCGGTCTGCAAGAGAACATTCGAGTCCGTCGAGCCGGTTTCGCGTACAGGAACACGTTTGAGAAGATGGTCGAACGATTCTATCTGTTGTCCCCCTCCACGTCCTATGCAGGAGAATACACCTGGCATGGAGATGCCAAGTCGGGTTGCCAGCAGATTCTCAAAGACACAGGCATCGCGCAGGAAGAATGGCAGATGGGTGTGACCAAGGCGTTCATCAAGAACCCCGAAACCGTGAGCCGTTCTGCTCCCGACGAGAAAGGTGCTGATATTTCGTGCGCAGCTGTTTGCTCTGGAGACAATGCGTGACCGCTACTGGCACAACATGGCTGGTCGTATACAGCGAGCGTTCCGCAATTACCTGCGCTACAAGCATGAATGTGCGCGTCGGATCCAGCGGTTCTGGAAGAACAACAAGGAGGCGTTGGTGTACGCCCAGGTGCGTGACTACGGTCACGAAGTCTTGTCTGGCCGGAAGGAGCGTCGGCGGTACAGTTTGTTGAGCTACCGCCGATTCATGGGTGATTATCTGGACCTCAACGGGAGAAGTTCATTGGGAGAAGAGCTCATTGGGATCTGCGGAATTGGCAAGGAGAAGGTCACATTCAGTGGCCGGATACAGTTGCTTGTGTCCAAGCTTGGCCGATCGAGCAAACCCAGTCCCCGATTCATCGTCGTCGTGAGTATCTGGTCGTCTCCATAATTCACGCCGTGGCTCACGCGATGTAGACTGAGAAGGCAGTACACATTGTCGTCACCCTCGCCAGAGACGGTCGGGCGCAAATGTCGCTCGAACGCAAGATCCCGCTGGTCACCATCAGAAGCATCGGGATGTCCAATCTGAGAGACGATTGGATGGTGGGTTTGTTCTTGGTCTTCTGTGTTCTGTCACTCTGATATGCGCACAGGCCCTCAACTTGAGCACAGTTTCGGAAGAGGGCGACCCTGTGTTCAGCTGCTACTTCAAGACAGAGCTGTCTGCCAACCTGCTGACCTTGACTCAAGCCAGCATCTCACTGCTGATTGCGCCGACGTTAGTTCTGTCATCTTATCTCTCATCAGCTGACCCACGTCACCAGTATCTCGTATGCTAAGAAAAAGGAAAAGAAGGCAGAGATCAAGTTCATCAGGGACGAGACCGTGAAGAAGGACGACCAGTACAAGAGCCACACTGTTCATGTTGCTTCCGGAGAAGCTGCAGGCAGTTTGTCGATGCCGCCTGCGAAGAGAAAGGCCGGGGTGGTTCGGCCCATCACTCAGGGCAAGTTGCTGAAGGCTGGGGGTCCTTCTGATGTTCGTCTTGCAGATTTGGACCATCCTTCGAATGCTGAAGCCCATATTTTCTTATTCAGAAACCGAAGCCTGTCTCAAAGCCGAAGCCTGCTGCTCGGCCATTGCCTGGTAAATCAGAGGTTGCGCCAGCGGCGAGGCCTATGGCAGCAGCGGTTCCCAAGCCTGTGGTAGCGGCTGCAGTCAAGCCAACTCCGACGACAGTGAAACGAACGAGTATGGCGCCGCCGCCTCCACCGCCTCCACCGCCAGCGCCGGTTGCCTCATCGACACCGATGTATCGGGCCAAGTTCGACTTCACTGGAGAGGAAGGGGAGATGAGTCTGACGAAAGACGACCTCGTCGAGCTTCTCGAGAAGGATGACAATGGTTGGTGGCTTGTGAAGAAAGGCGGCGCACAGGGCTGGGCACCCAACAACTATCTCGAACTGGCGCCGGCACCGAGTGTAGCTGCACCTCCGCCTCCCACTCGACGGCCTGTTCCGACGAAACCTGCAGCTGCGCCCGTGACAGCTGATGCCTCAGCACGGCCTGTGGCCATCCCTGGCATGGCGAATGGCAACGGCTGGAAGAAGCCCGCTTCTACCGATTCTACCCCAGCCAGCTCACGACCTGGAAGCTCGCTTGCTGGGAAGGCGCCGCCTCCTGTTGCAGCGAAACCGAAGCCGCCTGTCGCAGCGAAGCCAGGTGCACCCAAGCCTGGGATGAAGCCGCCGGTGCCCACGGCTGCAAGACCGACTGCCGCAGGTGCACCAAAACCGAAGCCCATTGGAGGTGTTGCTGCTGGTGGTGGCGGCATGGATTTGGCTGCAATCGTAAGTGACCAGACGATATCTTTCAGCGATCCATTGATTGCCTTGCTTCCAGCTTGCGAAAAGAGCACAGCAGATCCGGGATGACGACGACTAGTTGGGTAGATAATGTACAATGGACCTGTAGTAGTACTAAGCATGCGGATGGATGCATGGGTATGTTTCTATATAGAGAATTCCATGAGAGATTATTGTATTAATCTTGACTGCTACGATGTGGGAGGCACAAAAGGCGACGGTGACCTCGAATGCGCCATCGCCAATTCCTCCACTTCATCTTCTGACCGGAAACTCACCGTCTGTTGCATGCTCTCGTCCGCCTCGTCGTCGTCTCCATCTGCGGCTTCTTCAACTTCGTAAGCGCTCAGCACTTTAGTGATCTTGACGGGCTCCGGAAAGTCCTTTGGCGTGCTCTCTAATGCCCGTCGACCCGACTCCAGCAGCGTCTCTAGGATTGCCTTCACTCGCCGGTATCCTTCATCTTTAGTGTTATCAGCTTCATTCTCCTCCTCCTCTTCCTCCGAATCTGAGCTTTCTTCTTCCTCCAGTTCCGGTTCCGGTTCGTCCAGCTTGCGGAAGTCCCGGGGAGGAAGGACCAGCCGAGATTCGCGCAACTTACGTCGCAAATCCCGGATCTCTTTGGCCTGTCGGTGCTTCGTTTGCTCGAGGGACGCATTGATGGTCAGTAGAGATTTGTTCGTTATCTCAAGGTCGGCAATCTGATCGCCCCGGTGTGAGACGGAAGAAGAGAATCCATGCAAGCACGTACCTTCCGTACTGACTTCGCCTCTGCCCTGACTTCTCGTTCTACTTGCCGGACCTTCTCAGCCTCCGAATCAATGTCTTCTTCATCATTATCATCTTCGTCGTCGTCATCGTCATCGTCGTCGTCGTCGTCTTGCGCACTGAGGCCCATGAGCATTTCCAGCGCCCCATGAACCTTGAGTCGCGAGTTGGAGTCGGCCACAGACGAGCGGGAGGAATACGACAACGCAGAAGTCGGCGGGGAATTGGTGGGCAAGGGAACAGCCGCAGGATCAACTTTGGCAATCGGGCTGTTATACGCGCTGCCGTTGATGGTGCGGGGTGGAGATGTATAGCGCGCAGCATGACTGCTCGACGACGCCTCGGGAAAGGATTGGTAGGGGGAGCCCCCGCCGGACGGGCTGGCGCTTGCACTTGATCGGACAGAAGCGGTGTATCGGCCCGCTGGTGTCGACGCTATGGATGATGGCGGGTGAAATGGACTGGAGGATGAGGAGGCGGTGGAGGAAACGGACGGGACCCGAGGTCGGAGGGGTGCTTGTGCGCGCAAGGACCCATAGTGAGGAGACGAGGAGAGCGAGTCGTCGACGTTGGTCTGTTGCTTCGCAAATCTGGACACTTTCGCTGTAACGCGCGGTGAGGGACCAGAGCTGCCGGTCGTTCTCTCGTCGTCGGAGAGATTGAGAATGTCGGAAACGGTGATGGGCGCGTTGCGGGACGCGTAGTCGAATCCTGTCAAGGAATGCCTGCGCGCATCCTGGACAGTGGGAACCGCTCGAGCTGTCAGACCGCGTGTTACGGTTGCCTTGGGCCGAACTGTTCCAAGTTGCTTCGTAGGGGATCCCGATCGGGGTGTCAGACTAGGGGCAGCAGTTCTCGTGCTGACGGAGCTCTTGACGGAACCACTTCTAGATATCGTGGACGGAGAGACAGTACTCGCCGCCTTGCGTACAAGGGTCGATGTCGCGGTGCTATTCACTTTGGACTTTGGACGGAACACAGGCGGCGGAATGTTGGACGGAATGTTCGATGTATTCGACTTGAACGGCGACGGTGAACGGGCTGCATAGGGCCGTCGCGGCGACGCCTCGGTTACTTTCACAGTAACCTGCTTCGATGTCAACAGATATTCGAAGAGATGTGTGTGCAGGGGACCTTTCCGCGCAGGCCAGAGCCAGAGTCCATCAAACGACGGTCTAGGTAAAAGTACAAGCTTGAGTTTGTAGTCGACCTTGTGATGTGATCATCACTTTGGAGCCAACACCCCCTTCTTGACCAAAACCTCTTCCACAACCTTTTCGATCATCGCTTTCAAGCCGCTATCTCCACTGCCTCCCAGTGCACCTACGACGCTCTTCTCTACGTACTTGCCCACCATGTCCACTTCAATGTTGACGGTCGCACCGAGGGGTTTCTTGCTCAGAGTGATCTTCTCCTGAGTGTGTTGGATGAGCATCACACTGAATTTGCGTGCCGCGTCATCAACGCCCGTAACAGTCAAGGACGCGCCGTCGATGGTCACGTAGCCTTTAGGGATGATGTAACGGAGCAGGGACGGCCGTTCTGCGGTAGGTTTAGGGAATTGGAACGTCAGGCGGAGCGAGTCTCCGTCTGATTTTTGGTCAACCACAGTTGCAGTTGTGTCGACGTGCGCCTATATAATCATTTACTACGGATGTAGTCGAGCTGAGATCTAAACACGCTCACTTGCACGAAATGCCCTCCGAATCGCACATGGGCACCCATGGCTCGCTCGAGATTGAGTTGCTCTCCCACCTTGCGCTCTCCTGCAATACATATCAAGGCCAACTCGTTCTTGAGATCGGTTCACGGACCCAGATCCGTGCGCTGCAAGGTCTCGTTGGCAAGCCACACCGTGAACCAGCCGCCCTTTTCCGCAGCGTCAAAAGCGGTGACGGTTAGGCAAGCCCCATTGACCGCGATGGAGTCTCCGATGTGCGCGTCACCCAAGATTGGTGCTGCGTCCGAGATGGTTAGTGTACATCCAGCATCGTCCACAACGATGCTCGCGACAGTGCCGAGGTGCTCGATCTGAGGACGTCAACGATGGGGTCGGATCACGTAGTGAGTCGTATGTACCAAGCCTGTGAACATGGCGGGTGGAGAATCGAATGATTGGGCACGCACAGCCTGCGCCAGGTTGTTCCCTGATTGGGAAGCGCTCGATATCATCGGCATTAGAGCACATCGGAAGATTGCCTTGCTTGTCAAGGCTTCTCCACCCTCATAATTGGCTCGATTTCGTCGGACCCGGCTTCCCCCGCTGTTCCGTTCCTCTCCGTGCTCTTCCTGTCTGTCTCGAGTTCGACCCGCCGTAGTTGCCCGTATCAAAGAAAAAATTAGAATTAATTTTGATATCAAATAGCAAGGCAGAATGTCGGCGGAGCCGACGCTTTCTAGTCTAGAATTTGACTCTGAAAAGTTGCTGTAGCTGCGAATTGATTACAGCAATCTCAAAATCGACGGGCAGGTCAGAATCGGCAAGGAAGTGATCAGATTACTTAGGCCATTTTCACATGTGAAGATCTCACAGAAAATATTTTCACTCAGCACTAACCATCGGGTGCTGACAGGCCCGCGGAGACTCAGTATCATGTCACTCAAAAATAAAGTAAAACAAGGTCCAAAAAATGGCCCAACCTCACTCAGTAGAATAAAGTAAAACGGGTCAAAATGTACCAAGGTACCTCAGAATTTAGTGTAAAACAGCCCCCAGTTGAGCGGTTTCGGGCATGAGGGGGGAGAAATGTTCTAAAAGCGAAGCTGATCAGACAAATTCCCCTCGCTTTTTACCAGATTTCACCCATTGAAGCACAGAACTTGCAGTAAATCTCAGTCTCAAGAGCTCAAAAAAGACCTCACGTGAACGTATGCACAAAAACTGTGGGGTCCCTCGAAATTTAAAGTAAAACTACCCCAAAATGGCAATTTTCGTAAAGTAAAACAGTCTTTCGTCCTTGAGTGACCTTATACTGAGTTTCCGCGGGCTTGTGCTGACTTACTTGGTGGCATTTGCGCTGTATCAGTGTAGGTCAAGAAGCCTTGTCCTGCACTGCAGAGATAGAGGCACCTGACACATCAGGATCTTATCCAAAACTTGGCCCTCACAAGAACCCTTAGTTCAGTGGTAGAATGTGTGATTCCAGATAATCCTCTCCGGATAACACTCGTGGTTCCACAAGGTCGTCCGTTCAATCCGGGCAGGGTTCAATTTTGCATGCATCGAACTGTATTTCTACTCTTTTCTTGTGTCCGACGAGCTGGGATGCTGGCCTGAAGTCCAATAATCCGAACAAAATTATGTTCAAGTGTGGCTATGCGCGCAGCCTGATTGCACATACGCAGACGACTCCATTGCGTTTTAGATCTGCGTTGCTTCTGACTATAAATCTAGAGAACTGGTAACGCCAAGTTGGCAAATTACAGCAACGTTTCTCGACAGAACGTTTGGTCCACTGCAACGGACATATGCACATAGCCCATGATGTATGACGCAGAAGCTGTGCAACCGCGGCATTTAGCAGCAGCATGGCCAACGCACCAACTTCAAACTCACACCACGCGCTTTCTTTCCGCCAACATGTCCGCTTCCCTTCGCTCTCGCTATGAGGCTGCCGGCCAGGCTCACCTCTTCAATTTCTGGGAGTCCCTCTCTGCAAGTGAACAGAAGGATTTGACGGACCAACTCGAAGCCCTCGACATTGAACGCGTCAACCGCATCTACAAGAGGGCCGTTGAAGCAGACGCTGCTGCCGCTGCCCCTGGCCACCAAGATCCCATCGAACCTCTGCCTGCAGATGCTTCGGACTCGGTCAAGGACGCGGCGAAGGAGAGAGAGTGGCGCCAGATCGGTCTCGAAGCCGTCGCATGCGGATCTGTCGGCGTGTTGCTTATGGCCGGTGGACAGGGAAGTCGTCTTGGGAGCAGTGCCCCCAAGGGCTGCTACGATATCGGTTTGCCGTCCCACAAGTCGTTGTTCCAGTACCAAGCCGAACGCATCTTGCGCCTGCAAACGGTTGCAGAGGAGGAATTCAAGAAACCTGCGGGTTCTGTCGTCATCCCCTGGTATGTCATGACCAGCGGCCCCACCCGGCGCGACACGGAGGAGTTCTTCGCCAAGAACTCGTACTTTGGACTGGACTGGAAGAACATCATCTTCTTCGAACAAGGTATCTGTGACGATGCAGACTCGGATCTATGTTAACGCGTCTTTAGGCACGCTTCCGTGTCTCACAAACGATGGCAAAGTCTTCCTTGAAACTACCTCGCGCGTCGCTGTTGCTCCCGACGGCAACGGCGGCCTCTACGCGGCGACGCGAAGCCCTCTGTCGCCGTCCGATAAATCGCGCACCGTCCTTTCCGATCTATCCAAGCGCAAAGTGCTCTACGTACATGCCTACTGCGTAGACAACTGCCTCGTTCGTGTCGCCGATCCTGTGTTCCTCGGTTGTAGCATCAAGAAACAGGCCGATTGTGCGGCCAAAGTCGTGACGAAAGCCTCGCCAACGGAGTCGATGGGGGTCATCGCCTACCGCGGCGGCAAGTTCAGTGTGATTGAGTACTCGGAGATCACGAAGGAGCAGGCCGAAAAACGCGACCCATCTGGAGAGCTGTCGTTCCGCGCGGGGAACATCGCCAACCACTTCTACACGACGGCTTACTTAAACAAGGTGGAAGCTTTCGAAGACGATCTCGCTTTCCACATTGCGCGCAAGAAGATTCCTCACGTCGATCTGGAGAGCGGCCAAGTGGTCAAGCCAACGAAGCCGAATGGAATGAAAATGGAGTTATTCGTGTTTGACGTGTTTCCGCACACCGAGCGGTTCTCCGTGCTGGAGGTTGCGAGAGAGGAAGAGTTCAGCCCTCTCAAAAATGCACCCGGCACTGGCTCTGACGACCCCGAGACGAGTCGCCGCGACTTGCTGGCCCAACACAGGCGCTTCCTGGAGAATGCGGGCGCTCGCGTTGATGCCGGCATTGAGATCGAGATCTCTCCGCTGGTAAGTTATGCCGGAGAAGGGTTGGAGAGCGTAAAGGGAAAGACGTTCAGCAAGTCCGGTTCCGTTGGAGAGCTTGTTGAGCTCGATGCGTTGGTCTGAATGGGCTTGGAATATCACGGACTCGATGTACTCAGTGGTGTAAGATGTTGATTTGGAAATCGGTTTCCTACGTACTGGGCTACCCATCTGCAGGTAACGTATTCAGCCGAGGCCCTTTCTTCTCCAATTCCTCGCGAAGTGAAGCGAAAAGACGTTGAGTGCGCTCGGCATTGGGCTAAAATAAATGTCAGATCGCAAAACAGAATGAAAGATGATAAAGTATATACCTCCTTGCAGCACTGTATTAGTTTGTCGATGAGTATTGTTTGGTCATTCTGCGCCTCCTCAAGATCTTTCCTAAGTTGCTGAACCTGTGAAATGTTAGGAAGGAATGGCACTCAGTGTGAAAGCCCACCTCTTCTGCACGTTTTTCGTTTCGTAACTTCTCGCCTTCTGCAAGCTGCTTTTGTTCAGCAGCACGAGCTCGGGATAACAGCACCTCGAGCTCTTTCGAACGAATGACACATTCAAAGTGCTGTTCGCGCAATTTGTACTGCTGGAGCAATTCTTTCAGTCGTTCTCGAACTACACCATCGAAAATCTCTGTGATGGTGCGCTTGGCCCTAACATGCCGTCAGCTGTGAATCAACCCATTCAACGGTGAAAACACACTCTTGAGGGTTCTCCGTCCAGTTCTTCCTCAATTGCTGGCGCTGGGGCTCGATCTGCTCTTCCTGCAATAGATTTTAGATAGTCACGACATATGACAGTCTCGTCGACTCACCTGCTCCTCCCAGCCCGGTCCCTCCGTCAAGTCCATCAACTCGACAGCGAGAATCTCATCATTGTCGTCCATTCCGGCTTCCTCCGGCGTCTGGTCGGCATCGATGGTGCGCCCGTTGTGCGTGAAGACGAATTGCATCGACGAACTTGAAGCACCCGATCCCGTAGATGACACAGCATCTGATTGCACCATCCCGTTCTCCGCGGTCACAGCCGTGCCACCCTTGGACGAGGTCCCTTTCTGCCCACCAGACTTTTCCATCCTCTCTGTCCATGCGTTGAATAGCCGCGACAGCTTCGTTTTGCGCGAGATCTTGAAGAATAGCTCCGCCCGATATCGGCACACGACTTTCACTACGATGTCCGGCGTTTCACGGTACTTGGCATCGAGAGCTTTAGCTTTTTCGGCACGTTTGGTGATGTCATTTCGCATTTGGATCAGCTACTCGAAGTCGTTGGTATGCATTGAACCGGTGCAGGGACAAGTACCGACCTCGTCCTGAGCATCCTCCACCGATTGGGCCAGGCGCTTTCCGTCTTCCTTCGCGCAGTGTCAGATTATGCCAGGTGGCAGCTTACCTGACAAATCTCACCCTCAGACGTTTGTTGTCCTGGGGCGTATTAGTCCGGAGGACAGACTGCACAAGGCGCCATTCACCTTCTGCAATTCGCGAGCAAGGTTTTCCACCTTAATCTTCGACTGGTTTGCTTTAGTCAATTGGCCCTTGGCTACGAGCATGTGAGCAACGCGCAGAGCGAGATCGGACGAACACAGACCAGCATCTTTGTCTTTCACTAGTTTCTGCTTCTCTTTCGCGTGGTCCCGTTCCAGACGTTTGAATTCGGCAAACTGCCTCGTGGTAAGGCCACTGCGCGTGCCAGTCGCGCGTAAGAAAAAAACATACCAGTTCGATGTATTTCGCGTGGATCGCAGTCTCCGACATGCCCCTCACCGATTTCTGCGCTTCCTCGGCTTCACTTCGATGTAAGAGAGAGAGACAATGAGGATGAACGAACGAGCGCGACGAACCGAATCTCCGTTCCTCCTCCTCCTCTAGCACCTCTTCCTCTTCCAACGCGGCGATCCGGTTCTTCAGACTCTCGTACATAGCGGCCGGGTCGACGGGTGCATCATTCTTCTTCTTCCCCTTGCCAGCGTGCCCGTTCACGGGTGCGGGCCCGTGTGCGTGGTTATGCGCATGTGGTTGTCGATTCGGTCCAGGGTTGGGTGCTGCCGCGTGATTCGATGGTGGTGCAGGAGGAGCTGCAGCAGGGGCTGGGGGGGCTGGCGTAGACCCGTTCGGTAGTGGTTTGGTTGGGCGCGCGGCGGAAGGGCCCTGGTTATGGTTGGTGGTTCCGTTCATGATGGACCGGACTCCTGCGCCGATTTCGGCTTTGCAAGAAAACAACCAATCAGCGACAAAGGCAAAGCGTTTCCATTTACTTTTGGGAGGCATGATCTTTTGTGTTCGATGGATTTGGCTACTCTCAAGCCTCATTGCCACTCAATGAAATTCCATTTCTGTGAGTAGGCCAAATCGTCCTACGATCACGCACATGCGCGTCGGCCAGGCATGCCGACATGCTGAATACACGAGGTATCAGATAGTAGATATTACATTTCGTTTGTTCCTTCTATTCTCTGCTTCATATGATATCGGACCGACAGAGTGGACAACTCGATGAATGACTTGTGCTGAACCACTGCGACGAATAAGTTGGCAAAACATGTCGAACGTCCACACGATACACACCTTGTACAAGCATCCAGAGTGAAATCTATTCTTGCAAGTCTTGCAAGGCTTCCGTGGAAGAGTTCCGTCCATCACGCTGATGATCCTTGGGACAAAATGAGATCACAACAAAGACTGGCGCAGAAGCACGTACGAATAACAGATGGCGCATTCAACCTGGCCCTCAAAATGACCGGTCACGTTCTTCTTGAACAGTCCGATCCCATCTGCTATGCGACCGTTCTGCGAGAGCTAGGTGAGTGCACGAATCAGTGGAGTTTTGGAACGCACCTGCGACCAGAGAATTTGCTGGACAGCAAGGATCCACGCCCGCCATCTTGTTTCCTCCACCCCCACCCTCTGCACATCCTTCACCTCAATCTTGTGCAATGGCCAATCGGATGGTATCTTGAGTTTGATTTCCAACTGATGTTCGTCCACCAGATATGCTGCCGATACCTCATTAACATTCGACGCAACTTTAACCGTCAGGTTCTCGTCCGCCAACTCGGCAGTGGCTTCCGGACTCTTGACGTGAGCCAATTCCGCTCGTATGATGACTGGGGAGAAGTGCAAGGACGTGTAGGTGGCGATACTGTTCGACAATTGGCGGTCCTTGCAGTCCAGAACCCAGTTGTAGATCAACGAAGGCACGGTCAGGAGGGCGCGATAGTACAAATGAGCTGCAAGGACTTGAAGACTCCACAAACTGTCTCCCGGTTCATAGACTGGACACAGTCAGATTCTTCACGTTTGAACGCCACAAATACCTACAATCCACGTAATACTCGTCGACTGCCCATGCGTCAAGCTTGAAAGCCCTGGGTATTCCCTGGTCGATCTCGAGCAGATTGAGAATGTTGGGAATGAACTCGTTGCCGACGAGTTGTAGTGCTCGTAGATGGTCAATGTAGCCCAATCGGATCTTCAGGGACTGAGTGGCGTCAGCAACTAATGATAGAGCCGGAAATGAGACGCACAGCATTGGCGAATAAATCAAATACAACCATCCAGCCGAGGAGATATCCGAACACGATCTGTGATCATGTTATACTTCATACGAATGTTCGACCGAGCAACCATCGCACCGACTCATCTGCATCAAGCAACTCCAGCTGGTTGATGTCCGTAGTCATTCGCAAGATCTCCAACAGCTCAAGAGGAAGCTCAATTGTAGGAAGATTCAGCGTCCACTGCTGCTTCGATGACCAAGTGTTCGGTGTGCTTTTGGGCTGCGATCTGCAACAGGCGGTACGCCATCTTTGGACATCGGCCGAAGGGTCCGAGAGCAGGTGACACATCTAGATTAGATTAGATAACGTTCGAGGGTCAAGATGAGATAAGATCTAATCACTTTCGGTAGGGTTTCTTCGCTGATAAGGGAAGGAGGGAGATTCTGTACGATGGAGAGCACAAGTTGTCGGCATATTGAACGAGGCTGAGAGATCACAGCATCGTCTGACAAACATGGGTTTGTTGGACTCTAACGCAAGTCACAGACACATACCCAATCGACCAGCTGCCAGGTTTCGCACCATGCCCAGTATCTGCATGTGTCTTTCCTCCCAGTTCGCGCGGAGAGTCTTATTACTTGCGGCCAGATCTTGAATGAGGATGATCAGACGAAGAGTGCGTGCCAACGAGACCAGTGTATCTTCCTCCGTGAGCGAGGCATTCTGACAA